AGCCGCCCGTAACATCCTGGTCAACAGCAACCTTGTCTGTAAGGTCTCTGACTTTGGCCTTTCCCGATTCCTAGAGGAGAACTCTTCTGATCCCACCTACACGAGCTCTCTGGTAAGGCTAGGAAAAGGGGTAGAGGTGGTGGCTCTTAGGGCCAGGTGGGGAGGGAAACGGAAAGGTGGGAGTCTAGGTTATAATCAGCTCTGGTCCAGGGAGCAGATTTAGGAACAGACCAAGAGGTGGATCTGAGGAACCTTGGGGATGTGGACCAGGGAGCAGGACTCCTAGTGTCTCAGAGGAGAGCAGAGTTGGGGAGCTGGGTGCTTGGGCCCCAAAAAGAATGGAAGTCTGAACTTGGAGAAAAAAAGCAAAGAGAGGGGGCAGTGTGCTTGGGGACTTTGAGTCCCTCAGCTCACCTTTTCTACCCTCTTCTATAGGGAGGAAAGATTCCCATTCGATGGACAGCCCCCGAGGCCATTGCCTTCCGGAAATTTACATCGGCCAGTGATGCGTGGAGCTATGGGATTGTGATGTGGGAAGTCATGTCGTTTGGGGAACGGCCGTACTGGGATATGAGTAATCAGGATGTAAGTGTTCCATGGTCATGCCAGGCTTTTCTGGAATGTTCTCTCACCTGGAATATGGGGTTGGAGGAGGTCCCAGAGAGCTCATCGCAGCTGGGACATTGACATGGTGAGGGTGGCAGACTGATCTTTGTGTCAGAGAGTTTGGTACAGTGTGTTTGGGTCCCAGAAGGACCTGGAGGACAAGGGCAGAGTTGGAAGTTAAGCATCTAACCTCAGGAGCCTCCGTGATGAGGATGCACAGTTCTGTCATTCTGGGGGCTGTGGCTCCCATCCCACCAGCTGCTGGATCCCCATTTCCCTGGAACCCTTTGGCATCTTCATTTTCCCCCTATGTCCTTACCCAGTGCTCCTTCCTACCACCCCAGGTGATCAACGCCATTGAACAGGACTACCGGCTGCCCCCGCCCCCCGACTGCCCCACCTCCCTGCACCAGCTCATGCTGGACTGTTGGCAGAAGGACCGGAATGCCCGGCCCCGCTTCCCCCAGGTGGTCAGCGCCCTTGACAAGATGATCCGGAACCCTGCCAGCCTCAAAATCGTGGCCAGGGAGAACGGCGGGTGAGGACCCCAGAGGATGGGCCCAGCACCCAAGAGCTCCCTCTCTGGAAGTACCCATCCCTTTGGTGGTATGTGGGATGGTCTCTGTCCACCTCCAACGTTGCCCGCGGGGCTGGGCTCCACGTCGCCACCTGACTCAGGCCTGGTGTTGAGCGTGTCTTCCCCACCCCTGCCTCCCAGGGCCTCGCACCCGCTCCTGGATCAGCGGCAGCCTCACTACTCAGCCTTTGGCTCTGTGGGTGAGTGGCTTCGAGCCATCAAGATGGGAAGATACGAAGAGAGTTTTGCAGCTGCTGGGTTTGGCTCCTTCGAGCTGGTCAGCCAGATCTCCACCGAGTAAGTCATGGCAGGAGCTCGGGGAACCTGAACCAAGCCTACAGATTCAGCAGGGGCCTTCGGGTCACCTTCTGGTGCCAGCTCTGTTTTCTTACTGGAGCAAAGCTAGGGAAGAGTAGGTCCTCACCAAGCCCAGAAGAGGCCCAGAACCTGTGACAGCTGCCGGGGCTGAGGATCCCGGCCACCCTTTCTACATCCGTTGCCACCTTTCCTTCTCACGACATCCCAGCCCTGGGCCACCTCTCTCCCCAAGCCCCGCCCCCCCGTCCATATCTGTCTTTGTGCATCTGTCTATATTCCAGGCCCGGCTCCATGTTAACAGCGTGTCAACACTGGGTCTGCTTCTCACCCATAAAAGGAGAAGACTGGCCTGGGTTTTGGAGATGCTTTCCAGCTTTAAAGTCAAATGGTTTTACGATTCCACATCTCCCAGTGTTGGCATCTCATGCTGCTGCTTCCTGCCTTTCCCTCCTCTGCTAAGGATTCTTCTCGCCCCAGCCTAGCATAATAGAAGTAGAATAGAAATCCAAACCAGAAGGGTCCTCGGGGGCCACCTCCAGGCCAGGCAGGGCACTGGGGCTCCTCAACCTGGCCACTCCTCCTTTACTAAATTGTTGCAGCATCTTCTTGACACAGGTTCTCCCTCCCATTTCCACCTCTGCGTTTTTCCTTATCGGTCTCCGGGCAGCAGGATGGGAGGGAACGGATGGTTTTCGCCCCTTCCCTCCTGGTCCTGGCACCTCCCCTTCCTCTCAGCCCGGCTCTTCCTTTTCCTTCTGACTTGGCCTTGACCCTCTAAAGCAATCTGTGCAGCCAGTCCCTTCCCCCACCCTCACTTGTGGGCCCTCCTCTTGCTTGTAAGGAACCTTGTGGTGCAGTGGTTAAAGCATTCGACTGCTAACCAAAAGGTTGGCAGTTCAAAGCCAGAAGAAAGATGAGGTGGTCTGCTTTCATAAAGATTTACACCCTCAGAAACCCTATGGGGCAGATCTATTCTCCTCTATCGGATTGTTGTTGTTATGTGCCGTCGAGTTGGACCCGACTCATAGCGACCCCTCCTCGGGTTGCCGAGGTGGTATCACTGTGGAAGTGGATTGCCCAACCTTCCTTCTGAGGAGTGGCTGGTGGGTTTGAACCTCCAGCCTTCTGGTTAGCAGTCAAGTGCCTTAGGCACTATGCTACCAGAGTTCCTCTCGGGTCATCGCTGTTGTTGTTGTTGTTATTGTGTGTCCTCAAGTCAGCTCCGACTCATAGTGACCCCTCCTTGGGTTGCCAAGGCAGTATCACTATGGAAGTAGATTGCCCAACCTTCCTTCCGAATCGAGTTGTTAGGAGTCTGAATTAATTCAATGGCTTTGGGTTTGGGTCTCTTGCCTGTCTTACCTTTCCAGCCTCACTGGTTCTCACCTCTTTTCCCTTCCTTAATCCCCTCCAGAGGCTCCTGCTGCACCTGCCACTCCTGCCTCACTTGGCCTCACCCTTTGTGGCCCCAGCTCACGAGAGGCCTAGCCTCACTCACTACTGTGGCTGAGTGGGACTGTGGCCTACCCCTCACTCCTCTGGAAACTGCCTGGCAGCTATCGACATTGGACCCCAGCCTCCCAACACTGGCCTTTCTAATTGGCTTGCAGTCTGGAGGGGGCGGCATTGTGGAAGTTGAAGGGATGCTGCTGGGGGCACCCTGTGGTCTCACCTGGCTCTCCCTCCTCCCACAGGGACTTGCTCCGAATTGGAGTCACTCTGGCAGGACACCAGAAGAAGATCCTGGCCAGTGTCCAGCACATGAAGTCCCAGGCCAAACCCGGAACCCCAGGCCCACCCGGAGGACCGACCCCTCCTTATTGACTGGTGCCGCCTCCTGTGGCCCTGCAGCCCTGCAGCAGGAGCCCCGAACCCTGGGGCAGAGTCGGGTGGGGCCTCATAGAGGCCCCCTTCCCTGCTCCCCACTGGATTGCACTTTGAACCCATGGGGTGGGGAGTTGGCAGTTTGGAGAGACTGGATTTGAGGATTCTGCCATATGGGCATTAGAAATGGCATGCCCCCAAGGTGGGGACCCAGAGTATGGATGAGGGACCCTGCCCTCAGATCGGGAAAGGATTGGCCCGTATTCTAGCTTCCACAGGGGTGATTGGGCAGGGATCCCCACAGCCTCCCTGCAATCCTAAGTCAGCTTCCAAGTGCCTCCCTTCACCTTGATGGGCCTTGTCCCTGCAGACCAAAGAGGAGAGTCACTAGCCCGCAAACCTGGGAGTGGAGTGATGTTCCAGGAGGAAGGAAGGGGCGTCGTGGCCCAGTGACAGACTCATTGGACTCTGATGTCCCCAACCTTGCTGCTGTTACCACTAAACTCATTCTCCCCCCTTGTAAATGCCCCTCCCCCATTGGCTGCCTTCATATTGAAGGTTTTGAGTTTAATTTTTATTTTTTTTTTGTTTTTGGTCTTACTTTTCCTTTCTTGTTTTGTTTTGTTTTTCGGCCGTCTTTGTCGTAACTTTTTCTGTTGAGGGGACCTGTTTCACCATTGCCTCCCTTTGCCCTTGTCGTCGAAGCAGGGGCCCATCGTGGTGTCTGTTTCTAGAACAGTGCCGTGGTCAGGCCACAGTCCCCAGACGTGCCCCTGCCTCCCAGGTACCCTCAAGCTGTGTCCCATGGGGGCACGGGTGGTGGAGGAGCGTAAGGGAGTGGAGAGGGCAGAGAGGTGGTGGCAGAAAACAGCCAGACACCGGTCCTTGGAGGGGTTCTTAAATTATATTTAAAAACGTTTTTTGTATAAATAAAAGAAAATGGGAAGTGTCCCGGCTCTGGGGGTGACTGGGACTTGGGAGGACGGCTTGGTATGTGAGGAGCGAGGGGTCTAAGTATGGAGGGGCTTGACGGCAAACAGAGGGGCTGGGGGTTTGGAAACCGCAGGGCTGTTGGGGTGCTGGTTGCTGGCTTCCCAGCCCCAGGCTGCGTTTGAGATGGTGGGGTCGGGGCAGTGGGTGATGAGTCACTGGCAGCTGTTTCTAACGGCTCCAGATGGCTCTGCCAAGAGCCTGGGGCACCTCCGGGGTGGGGCAGCCCCCTCCCTTTTCTCCCCCTGATTCTTTGGCCAGGGCAATGGGCTCTACAGGGAAGGGGAGGTCTCAAGCTCCTAGCCCTGCCTTGCAGCCCTTCCCTAAGGGGAGGAGTGGGGATGCAAGTTGGGGGGCTCCGATGAAGGAGACAGATGTGGGCCAGATGTGGACAGCTGGGCTTGGTTTTGAAGCAGTGGCGGGGTGTGTGTGTGTGTGTGTGTGGAGAGGTGGGAGTGGCAAAGGTAGACCCCTGTGTGTGTGTAGGGGGGGGCGGACAGCACGCAGCTGCGTTGGAAACACAATTACCCCATTCAAGATGCTGCCCGGGCAGGTTCTCCCAGCCTTTTGCGAAGGGGAGGGGGAAACCACCTGAGTGTCTTTCCCCCTCCTTGTCCCTCCCAAACAGGGAGATGAGGACGGAGTCGACCCCTGGTGTGTATTGCCCATTTTCTGTCTCAACACCTCACTTTCCTTTGTGCCTGCCCAGCGCCCCATCTGGGATGGTGCAGAAGCAGGCCTTGAAGGGACCAGCTTTAGCTGCAGCGGCCTTTTCATCCGCATTACAGTTGCCCTCTGTTCTGTTGAGGTCAGTGCAGGACCCCCAGTCACAGCCCAGGGAGCCTCACCATCCTGTCCCCGATTTCCCACTTCTACAACTTTCTTCCGGAGTCTCTAATGCTCTGTCCCCTTCCTTGTTGACATAGTCGTTTTGTACCATTGAGAGGCTGTGGGGCGGGTGGGATTTCTGTCCTGCCGAGGAAGGCGGGGATGGACATCCAAAGAATGAGGGTCCAGGCCAAACCCCCTTCTGCCAATCAGACTGTGGGACTAGATAAGGTGACCCTGAGAGAGTTGGTGAGGGCAGGAACAAAGGTCAAGGGAGTGGGGCAAAGAGAGGTAATGGGTCAAAGACCAGGGGAAGGGAGCAGTGGGAGCCCCGTGATATCAGGCTAAAACATGAAGTCCCAGTTCTCCCCAGAAGGCTGCCCTGAGCCTGCCGTCGCCCATCTCCCAGGTGTGAGCTGCTCCCCCAGCTAGGGGAAGGGAAAGCCAAGCTGGGCAGGGTGGCCTGATTGGTGGGACACCTTCCGTTCCTGGGGCCTTTACACCACCCAGTCTCACTTCCTCAAAAGAAGGTGTCTGCCAGAGGGCCCACAGATTCAAAGATCTTTTAGAATCCAGCATCCTATCTGCTTACACTTCCCCAAACCCACTTGGGGTCTACAAATCAGACCCCCAGTCCATAGCCTTATTTTACTTAGAGTTTGAGCAGGAAGACCCAAGCAAGGACCTGCCTGGTAGGAGGGACCAAGCACTGGGAAGGGTCAGAATGTTGGCACTTGGGTCTCACCCTGGGCTCAGTTACTCCTAACTGCACAGAGCTCCCGACTCAGCAAGCTTCTTACCTGACCCCATACTTGGTTGCCATAATAACCCTTAGGCCTTTTTGAGAAATGACAAGGGTCAGTGGAATGTGTCCTCCCCAGAGGGTCACGGGCCAGTTCACTTTTTAGAACAACCCGCTTTCCCATCCTTTGTCTATGAGTCACCTTTCACTACCCTTGGTGGGGAGCTCAGAGGCCTGAGGTGGAGATAAGAAGAGAGAAGCCTTTATCTCAGAAGCCATTGGCCCGGGGTCTACATGCCAACCTTCATTCCTCATTTCCTTCCCTGCCCCTCACACTGACTGTAGACCTGTGGGGGGCCCAGGGCTACATGGCTTACCCTAGAGACCACCAAGACTTCAGAAGGACTGCCCCACCCCCACCCAGTTCTGCTTACAGGACACCCCTTACTGCCTCAAACCTCCGTTCCTCTCAGTGTTTTACACAGAATCCAGCCCAGACCCCACTACCTGTCTCCCTCCTATCCCACCTCAAACCTACCTCACAGACCCAACTCCCTCCTGCATAATCACATGGAAATTCACATCTCAAAAATAAATTTTATTTGATCTCTTCTTTGTTTGAAGACAACTCAAAATTGAGCGACTTTGAAGGCTCTCTATGGAACAAAATCTGGCAGAAGAGAGAAAACCTTATTAGAGGCAGACTCAACTCCAGGTCAGAACCTCTGGCTCTCCCCTCAGGGACGGCCAGCGTTTGGGACTGTGGGCTGCTGCTTACCTGTGTCCGCCAGTCAGCCTAAGTTGTAGCTCAGGAGTTTGTTCCTAAGAGGCATGGGGTTGCAGAGGGACGCTCAGTGTGTCGACTTCGGCTTCCTTGTGTCCTAGGCCACAACTCACTCCCCGTCCCGCCCCCAACCCGTTTACCCCCACCCCTGTTTGTCTGCCTGCCGCCCCAGCCCCTCTCCTGAACTCGCCTCCTCCTCCTTTTCCTGTGAAGGTACTTCCTGGTCACTGCCAGCACCGTGAAGGCCGTGGGCACCAGCATCCCCAAGAGCACAGCCGCAAGGTTGGGTGCTTCTGGAGTACAGGGAACAGAAACAGGGATGTGGAATAGGAAGGAAGGGTTGAGGGGTAGGGGACACTCCCTTTAGTCTGCAGTTGCCACCCTGAATGGACATTTCCCCTCAATCTCTGGGTGTGGCTGGTTCTCCCTTCAGTTGGCTGTGGGGGAGGACCCTGCAAGGCTACAGCCCCCCCCCCCAGGAACCCATTTTTCCAGACACACTCCCATAAGCCTTCCGAGAAAGCTGCTTCTCCAGCTGGTCCTCTGGAGACCAGAGTGAACTATCAGCTTGGCCCTTGTCATTCAATTTTAGCCCTTTAGACACTTCCCTCTGTCACCAGGGAGCTTGTTAAAATGCAGATTTTTGGGCTCAATCCAGACCTATTGAATCAGAATCTCTGGGGATAAATCTTGGAATGTGTTTTAAAAAACTACCTCTCCCTCCCCAGTTTTAGGCAAGATTAAGGATTAAATTTGAGAGGCCCAGAGGATGAAGGAAACTCTGGTTTGGGATAGGGGAAAACAGTAAATGGTGTTGGAGAGGCATGGTGGGGAAATAACAGCACAGGTGAGGCATTTAGATCAGAGAAGTGAGGAGTTAGGGTTCAGAGAGGAGATTCTGGAATATACGAGTAGGTGATGGATTCTTTTGAGAATCTTTGTCCTGCTAATCTCAAGGGATTATGTTATCAATACATGTAATTCTATAAGGAGCTCCAGTGGCACAGTGGTTAAAGCATTCCGCTGCTAACAAGAGGGTCAGTGGCTCATCCTACCATCTGCTGGGTGGGAGAAAGATGAGGCAGTCTGCTAAAGACTGACAGCCTGGGAGGGCTCTGGTAGCATAGTGCCTAAGGTACTTGACTGCTAACCAGAAGGCTGGTGGTTCAAACCCACCAGCCACTCCTTGGAAGGAAGGTTGGGCAATCTACTTCCGTAGTGATACCGCCTCGGAAACCCAATGAGGGGTCACTATGAGCCGGGTCCGACTCAATGGCACATAACAACACAACAACATCCTTCGAAACTCTATGGGGCAGTTCTATTCTGTCCTCTAGGGGCGTCGTGACTCAGAATCACTGGATGGCAGCGGGTTTGGTTTTGGGTTTTAGATATAATTGTTGTTGGTGGGAAGGAGCTGTGAGGATACAGGGCCTGGGATGAAGTTCTTACTTAGCTTTTCAGGGGCTGGAACTTCCTGAGGTTCCGCGCAGAGGTCTCCCCCATAACCAAGTTCACACTCACAGGTGAAATTGGTTCCCTGCTCCTGACACCGTCCGTCATTCTGGCAAGGGTTCTGCAGACAAGGGCTTTCTGCAAGGATGGAGGGGTTGTGAGAGAAGTACCGAGGGGAGCCCCTTGATTCCTCAGGACTCTCACATAGCCAGGGAGAGGTCTGGCTGGGGGCTGGGACCCAGAGAAGAAAGCAGCAGCACATAGCTGAGTGACTGGCCAGGGGTCAGCCAGCCTGGTTTCCCATCCTGGTTCTGCACTCGCTAGCCCTGGTTTGGGGAAACTACCAAACCTCTCTGAATGCCATTCTCTACCTACAGATGGGGTTAACATGCTAACCAACAAGGACAAGGCTTAACGGGGCTAACAAGAAGCTAAGCACAGAAAAGGGATCCAGTCCAGTGCTTGGCAGAGTAAATGCTTAGGGAATGTTAGGTCCTTTTCCTTTGCCCCTCCTTAAAGAGGATGGGACCAAGATAGAATGGAATTAAACAGCACAAACGTTCTGACACAGTGTGGAGAAGTCCCAGGCATGGAACAGGGAGGGGCAGCTGTTGGTCCAGGCCCCTACTGTGTAGTGTGGAGGCAGCCTGCAGCCAACGCGGGGAGGATCACACTCACCTCGGAAACAGCCACGGGTGAGGTTCCCCAGGGTGCAGATCTCTCCTGCGCCACAGCCGAGGGGCTCACACAGCAGGACCCCGGAGCTGGCACAGGTACAGCGCTGGGAGCAGTCCTTGGTCACAAAGCTGTCACCTCGCTGGAAAAGGGACAAGGGTCAGGAGCAGAAGGTCTGGTTTTTGTCCCTGGTCTGATTCTACTTGTGCATCTCTGCTCCCCCAAGCCCTTCTGCACCCAGCCCAGACCTGGTAATAGATGCCATTGCTGATACAGCCACAGTCCGCTAGAGGGAGGCTCTGTGCACCGCTGTAGACGTAGCCAGGGAGGCTGGCACAGCCTTCCACACAGGGCCCCTCACAGTCCCTGGGAGCCTCCGGGTTGGCACAGGAGGCTGGGCAGGGCGTCATGCAGCTCTGATACACGGTATTGGCTGGACACGCCAAGGCTAAGGGAACAGAGTCCCAGTCAGAAGGTGGCCGGAGCTGGCCAAAAAGGGATGGACAAAATGGAGTGAAGCTAGAAGTGGGTGAGCAGACAGAACACAGAGCTTATTATAGGCAGAGAGGCCAAGTTCACGCCCAGCTTGGTGTGTCTGTCTGTCGTGGACTTCAAAGCTTGGGAAGGAACTGCATGAGCAAGGATGGACTTGGAGACAGGGCACAGGAGGGGTGGCCATGATGGGGGTGAGGTTTCCCAGGTGGAACTTTAGGGGATCAAGTATAGCAGGGATTGTGGGGCTGGCGCGGGATCGGGCAGTGTTTCGTTCTGCTGTGCATGGGGTCGCTATGAGTCAGAAACAACTCGATGGCACTTAACAACAACAACAACAAGAATGGGGGCAGAGGAGGAGTCAGGTTAGAAGGATGTCCTGACCTTACAATGGGGAGCTGGGGGCTGGGGAGACCCGTTAGGAAGCCAAGATGGGGAGTTAGAGGGGAATCAGAGTTGAATGGAGGGAAGACATGGCAGACAGTGTCAGGGGCCAGCGCCGGGGGCAGGTCAGTGCCTCACCACAGCCCGTGTGGTTGCGCCAGCTGGCCAGGACGGTGCCCGCCTCCTGGCAGATGAGGGCATACCCGCTGAGCAATTGGCAGCGCAGCTCCTCCCCCTCCTTGGGGTCCCGGGCAGCACACTGATCTAACACGCAGTGCCTAGGGGTGGGGACAGTGGGGGGCAGGCTGGTGACTCAGCCCCACAGAAGAGACCAAGCAGAAGGAAAGTAGGCAGGGACAGGGGAGGGTCACCAGGAAATGAGGCCACAGAGAGAGAAAAGGAAAGTGAACCGAGCACGGATCAGAGTGGACAGCAGGACCCACAGAGAGGCCAAGGACAGAGCCTCGGTGGTCCCTGCAAGCCCTGGGCCTTAGACTCACTCCTGGAAGGGCTCTGGGGCCACAGTCTGGTGACAGGCAGCAAAGGGACCCTGGGGGTCAGCCAGCACCCTACAGGCCTGGATGCTGTTGAAGAGATGCTCCGGGGTGCATTCTGACATGTGGAAGCTTGACTCCCCCTCTTTCTCCTCCTCCTCCTGAATGGCCCTGGAGCAGAGACAGCGAGGGGCCAGGTAAGGGCCGTGAGAAATGTGAACTCAGGGAAGAGGAAGAACAGTGGGATAGGCTAGGAACAAACTTGAACACATGGCCCCTGTGGTGGTTATGTTTATGTGTCAACTTGGCTGGGCCTGGTTGAGTGGCTGGGCAGCTGGATGTAGTTATTCCCCATGATGAGACTGGTAATCAACTCCATGGTGGAATCTACTATGAGCAGCTGAGTAGCTGCTTTTGGGATATAGTCTGCTTCCTGTATATAAGGAGAAGTCTTGGGAATAGTCTCTAGCCTATGGCATGCTTGGACCCTGCATGTAGCCATGTCATTGTTCAGCAGCCTGCCATGTTCTGCCGACCTTGAGACTTACAATGGACTTAAGCTAATGGCCTGCTGTGTGGTCTGGTAACATCGGGACTGTGCCTTTTTACTTGTCAACCTTGGGGCTTACACCCTCAGCAGCCAGCAGCTGTTTGAGTGAAGAAATGCCTATAGCTCCAGTGGGCCAGGAGCAGGAGGCAGAGCTGGACCCCAAGGTTGAGGGGCTTTCACCCAACCCCTAGAGCCTGGCATTTTGAACTTGGACTTAAAGCCTCCAAATTGTAAGAATAGACTCCTGTTTGTTAAGGCCTTCCTATTTGTGGTATTTTCTTGTCAGAGTGGCACTAGGGAACCAGAACAACCCCTGAAGGCCTCTGTCTCCTCTTTACCAGAGTGTAGGTCGTGCGGCCCTGGAAGTGGTAGCTAAAGCCAACTAATGGGTGGTAATGGAGGTCCCTGGAGACTGGGGCTTCCACAAAGCCTCATACTTAGTATGAGAGGAAAGGACAAAGTTAGAGAAACCCAGGTCAAATCTGTCTGGGCTCTCCCCCTTGATTTTCCTCCTTTGCTGAGCACGCAAGGGTGAGAAATGTGGACAGACACTGGGCCATGGCTCCTCTCCCTGTGGGCTGTTTCTACCAGGGCCTTGCCTCACTGCCCACCCCTCTCACCTTGGAACTCGGGCCTGGGTGGCCTGGTCTCCCTTCACCTCCCAACTGTTGCCAAAGGTATTGATGTTGCTAGTGATGGCGCCAGTGGGCAGCATTAAATCATTGCTCTGGTTCCTATCAAAGTTCCCACACAGGCCGCGCACGAGGCCTTGGTATGTGCTGGGCATGGAAATCACTGTGGGAGCAAGGGGGCACAGAGGTGAGAGGCCCTGTGTGCGCTGCAGCCGTGACCCTTCCCACCTTGCACCAACACCTTCCCAGCTGTGCCCCACTCTCACTGTCTCAGTTGTGGCTTCCCCTCCCCCACACCTCTTCCCCCCCACTCAGGGACCTGCATTTTTGTTCCCATCGAAGCTGATGGCCAGCCCAAAGTCAGTGGTCAGATACAGGCGGTGAGACTTCAGGGAGACCTGCAGGTGCTCACTCGGCTTGTAGGGAATGACCACCTTCTCGTCATTGACCTGAAGGAGAAAGGCAATAACTGCAGAGGTCCCTGCCACCTCCTGTGGCAGAGGCCTCCCTCAGTCCCCAGCCTGGTCTCTGCTCAAACCTGGCACCATGGATGCCCTGATACTTCTTCACCCTGAGCTCACACTCACACGTATGTTTTCTCCTCTTTTCCCATGTCTGTCTCCAGTCTTTTGCTTAATCCTACTGCTCTCCTCTGCCTCTCTCCATGAAGTGAGCTTGGCACTGATTCTGACTTCTACACCCAGGCTGTCCCTCCCAGGAACGTCCCAGGGGACAGAGAATCCTGGTTCCCTCTGGTCCAGGCACCTCCAAGAGCCCTGTCTGCCTCCCCAGACCCTCCCAGCTCTGGCCCGGTTCTTACCACAAGCTCCAGACCAGGCTGGAGCTGGATTCTAGAGCCGTAGACCTTGACCAACACTTCATACAAGAAGACCGGACTCCAAGGCAGGTACATCTTGTTGCGACCCTCCACGACCAGGGGCTCCACCCCATCAGGGAGCACATCTATGGTCTTTACCAGAGTGTAGGTCATACGGCCCTGGAAGTGGTAGCTAAAGCCATCCAGCGTGCGGTAATGGAGGTCCCCAGAGACTGAGCAATGATCCAACCCTGCCAAGAAGGGCAAACACTGAGACCCCTCCCAGACAAAGCAGTCCCAGAATCCTCTTGCCCATAATAATGTCTCCTGTCAACCTGCCTCTTAGCCCTGGGATTTGATGTTCAACTTCCTCTCCCAACCCAGTTAACAACCATAGAAGATCTCCTGTCCAGTCCCTTCTTGTTGCTCATAAGGTAATGAGTTCCAAAGAGAGTCAGCGTGCATGGCCACAGAGTTGGTGAGAGCCAGTTAGAACCCTGAAGCCTCTTGACTTAGTTGCCCAATCCTGATGCCTGTACTCAGGCCACCTCTCTTCATGCTGTTGTTGTTGTTATGTGCTGTCGAGTCGGACCCGACTCATAGCGACCCCTCTTTGGGTTTCTGAGGCAGTATCACTGCAGAAGTAGATTGCCCAACCTTCCTTCTGAGGAGTGGCTGGTGGATTTGAACCGCCAGCCTTCTGGTTAGCACTCAAGTGCCTATGCTACCAGAGCTCCCACCTCCCTTCACAGCTTCTCCAATCTAAGTCCTTTTGTTCCCTGCCTCTTACTCCACCTCAGCCCTGAGCCCTCCTTTCTCCCTTCCCCTTACAGTCAGGTACGCAGTTGCTGTTGCCCTTGGCATTGAGCTGGCAGTGGGAACCTGAGGGGCAGTGGAAGTTCCTGCACTGAATGACTCCCTCTGTGCAGACACAGTTCTGGATACAGCCAATGGCGAGCCAGGTCTTGCCTGCCTGTAGAAGCCACAGGAAGAGCAAGGGAGTGAGGAGGGAAGGGCCGGTCCTCCTTTCTATTACTCCTTCAGCCTAAGCCCACAATCTGGTCACACACTCCCTCAGCTGCCAGTTACAGTGCCATTTGGACCCTTATGCCCCTGTATCCTCTTAAGGGGTATTGTCTTACCTTTGTGACTCAGGATGTACCCCTGGACCCATTTTATAGATAAGAAAAGTGAAATAACAGGTCACCTAACTGGTCAGTAGTACAGTCAGGATTCAGTCCCAGCTCAGCCTGCACCTCTGCTAGAGCGTGCGGACTCCCAGTTGGTAGACTCCTCAGGTCCAAAACCCCCAGCCCAGACTTGGCTGAAGATCACCCCACCCCTCTCATCAGCTTCCACACCCCAAGGCCAGTGTAGAGACACAGATGTCCCAGCCTGAGAAGCTGAGGAAAGAGAAAGCTCCGATCTCAAGGTGGGTCCCCAACCCTATTTCATGTCCCTACTCACAGGAAAGATGTGGCCTTTGGTGTCCCTGCAGCTGCACTGATTCCTGAGTATGCACTCGTCCTCCTTGAGCACATACCCAGGGTTACAGACACAGCCCTCAAAGCAGGTGGAGAGGAGCTTGGTGCCCTCACAGCGGCCCTCCAGGTCCCAGCAGGAAGGTGGGCAGGTGGGAGCACAGTGGGTGTAGCTGCTGTAGGCAGGGCATTCCAGAGCTGTGGAGTGGAAGGGAGAGAAGTAAGTGGAGAGGGCTAAGGGCGGCAAGGTAGGGGACAGGGGATGGAGAAACCAAGCTAGGGTGTTTTTTTTGGGGGGCTATGAGATTGGGGAAATTTTCTTGGCCCTAGAAGTGGTAACTAAAGCCATGAAATGTTCAGTAACAGGGGCTACAAGATTTGGGGCTTTTTCTTCCTTTCCTCATTCATTCAACAAACATTTGCTGAGCATGAACTATATGCCAGGTCCTGAGGAAAGAAATGAATAAAGATGAGCCTCCCAATTCAGTGAGGGAAACAGAGGTGCTAAAAGGGCAAGGAGGTGGCATCTTCTGACATCCTCTAACTAAGCAAGAGGAAGACAGAATTGCCATCAGCAGCCAAAGACATGTTCCTATGAGGCCAGACATGCCACCACCCTCCAGCCCTCTCACCAATCTTGATACCAATCGCCCCTCCTTTGGCAACCCCCCACCTCTTTGCTGGGTTTGATAATTCACTGCAGTGGCCACACAGAACTCCCAGATTATAGAGTTTATTAGGGAAGCAACAGGCTACAATCCAAGGTCAGGAATGCACTCAGGACACATTTCTTCAATCAGGATAGTCTCCCCTTTGCTGTGCACTTAGACATGTCTCTCTGGCCTTGGCCTCTCAGCCTAGCCTCTGCCTCTGTGGGCCAGGTAAGCCTGCAACTTTGTCTCATGCCTCTTGGCTCTACTGCTGCTGTCTCTCAGCCAGGTGTCTCTCTCTCTCACTGCGCATCTCTCTCAGCCAGGTGTACATCTCAGCCAGGTGTCTCTCTCAGCTGGGCGTCTCTCTCAGCCAGGCATCTTTCTTAGCTGGGCATAAGATTCCCCCTCTGCCTTTAGGAGGGCTCATTTTCAGCCTGGAAGATGGGGAAAACTAACCAATCCCAGCATCAGAGTTCTACACACATGAGAGAAAGCAAACTTTCCCAGAAGATTACTTCATGCTGCTCCAACAGAAATACCCCAGGTGGATGACTTTAATAATTAGGATATTAAAAGCAGCGACTCAGTTGCTCACAGCAAATTCCACCATGGAGTTAATTGCTGGTCTCATTATAGGAAATAACTACTACCAGCGGCACAGCCAAGTTGACACATATTTGCATGGTCCCACCCAGTAATCCAGTGGGAGTTATAAAGACTATGGTTAGAAAAGCCACACTATGCAACTCACTATACCACAAGAGGCCAGCCAGCAACACAGCCTTGATGGTCAGTAAGTGGAGTGACAGGCATGTGTGGGCAAGATGTAATGGGAGCACATAGCAGGAAGATATGGACTCTGTTTGGGAAGTTAAAGAAAGACCTTCAAGCAAAAGTAGTCACAAACAAATGGAAATGCCTACCATGTTCATGGATAGAAAGTCAACAACATAAAGATGTCAGTTCCTCTTAAGTGAATTTATGTATTCAATATAATCCCAATAAAATATACCAACAGAGTTTTTATTCATAGGATGAGATGATCTTAAAATTTAGGTGAAGAAACTAGAAAGGCCAAGGAAAATCTAAAAATTAAGACCAATAGGTAGTAAATGACCCTACCAGAAATTAAAAGACATTTGAAATTCTTAATAACACAACATTGTGCTTCTGGCACATGAAGAGGCAGTTGGTCCAATGGAACAGAAAATAAAGTGTCGATATGGACCTAATTAGATGTTGTTGTTAGGTAGTGTTGTGTTGGTTCCAACTCATAGAAACCTGGTGTGCAACAGAATGAAACGCTGTCTGACCCTACATCATCCTCACAATCCTTGCTGTTTGAGTCCATTGTTGCAGCCACTGTGTGAATCCATCTCATTGAGGGTCTTCCTCTTTTTCACTGACCTTCTGCTTCACCAACCATGATGTTCTTCTCCAGGGACTGGTCTCTCTTGGTAGCAGTGTGTGAGACAAAGTCTTGCCATTCTCTTTTCTACGGATCATTCTGGCTGTACTTTTTCCAAAACAGATTTGTTCATTCTTCTGGAAGTCCATAGTTGTTATTGTTAGGTGCTGTCAAGTCATTTCCAACTCATAGGGACCCCATGCACAGCAGAATGAAACACCACCCAATCCCACACCAGCTTCACGATCCTTGCTATACTTGAGCCCATTGTCACAGCCACCATGTCAATCCATCTCGTCAAAGGCCTTCCCCTCCTTCATTGACCCTCCACCTTACCAAGCATGATATCCTTCTCCAGGGAATGGTCCCCTCTGACAACATGACCAAAGTAGGTGAGACAAAGTCTGACCATCCTCGCTTCCAAGGAGCATCTTGGCTGCACTTCCTCCAGGACAGATCTATTAGTTCTTTTGACAGTCCATGGTACCTTCAGCATTCTTCACCAGCACCACAACTCAAAAGCATCAACTCTTCTTTATTCATTGTCCAGCTCTTACATGCATACGAGGTGATTGGAAATATCATGGCTTGTGTCAGGTGCACCTTAGTCCTCAAGGAGACATCCTTGCTCCTCAGCACTTGAAAGAGTTCCTTCACAGCCAACCTGACCATTAGACATCATCTAATGTCCTGACTGCTGCTTCCATTTGCCTCGATTGTAGTACCAAGCAACATGAATTCTTTGACAACCTCAATCTTTTCTCCATTTATCGTCCATGGTGTATTCAATATTCTTTTCCAACACCATAATTTGAAGGCATTGATTCTTCTTCTCAGACTTCCTTATTCATTGTCCAGGTTTTGCATGCATATGAGACAACTGAAAATACCATGGTGTAAGGTCAGGTGCACCTTAGTCCTCAAAGTGACATATTGGTTTTTAACACTTTAAAGAAGTCTTTGCAACAGATTTGCCCAATGCAGTGTCATTTGATTTCCTGATTGCTTCTCCCATAGGTGTTGACTGTGGATTCAAGTCAGATGAAATGCTTGACAGCTTCGATATTTTCTGTTTATCATGCTATTGCCTATTGGTCCTGTTGTAAGGAGTTTTGTTTTCCTCATGTTGAGGTGTAATCCATTCTAAAGGTTATAGTGTTTGATCATCGGTAAGTGTTTCAAGTCGTCTTCTCTTTCAGCAAGCAAGGTTGTGTCATCTACACATAGCAAGTTGTTAATGAGTTTTGCTCCCATCCAGATACCATGTTCTTTTTCATATAGCCCAGCTTCTCAGACTATTTGCTCAGCATGCTAAGTATAGTGAAAGGATACAACCCTGATGCACACCTTTCCTGATTTTAAACCACACAGTATCCCCTTGTTCTGTTTGAATGACTCCCTCTTGGTCTTCATACAAATTCTGCATGTGCACAGTTATGTGTTCTAGTATCCCTATTCTTTGCAATGTTATCCACTGCCATCAACTCAATTCCAACTCATTGTAACTCCCATTGGGTTTCTAAGGCTGTAAATCTTTATGGAAGCAGATAGCTTCATCATTCTGCAGAGTGGCTGGTGGGTTCAAACCACTGACCCTTTGCTTAGCAGCCGAATGCCTTAACCACTACACCACCAGAGCTCCTTATAGATCTAAAACTGCTCTAAAAAATAATGAAGTACAAAAGTCTGTGTCTAGAATGCTTCTATTCATAAGAAAAAGGAGAAAATAAAAAAATAGAGATTTGTATGTGTTTGTTTATGTATAAATAAAAGGTAATTGGAACAATGCTAAGTTGTTGATAAGAACAGATACTTTGGCAGGCTGGGATCTGGACAGACTGGGGTCATGATGGGGAGGAGACTTTTCACTGGGTATCTCTTAATACTTTTTAAGATTTTGAACCATGTGAATGTATTACATGCTAAAAGCAATGTAATTGATTGTTTTAAAATCTAAAAGATTCTGAAATTAGATAGCAGAGATGGTTGCACCACATTATGAATATACTGGAAACCACCGAGTTGTATGCTCTCCAAGGGGTGAACGGGATGGTATGTGAATCATATTGCAAAAATTATTTTTTCTAAGGAAAGATCTTCAGAAGGAGGCCTAGGGGCCTGCCTGGAGGGGAGAAGACAGGAACCTTTCCAAGCATGGGGAACAGGATGTAGAAAGACAGGGAGGTGTGGGGGAGGCAGTGGGATGGATGTTGGATGCAGGCTGGTGTGAAGGTGCGCCTTCACTTGGACTTAATCTTGCAGGCAATAGCCATGCAGGGGAGCAACCCAATCATATCTCCTTTGGAAAGACAGCACCGGCAAAGGAGCCAATGAGCAGCAGCCAAGGGGCAGGCCTGGAGGCAGGGGCACTGGTGAAGAGGTTATTGTAAAAAGTGAGAGAGACAACAGGGTTCGAATGAGGTCAGGAGCAACTGGAATGGAGAAGAGGCGAGCTTTAAGAGATGCACAGAGAGAAACAGGACTTGGTGAGGTTCTGAGGTGACCGTAGGGCACATATAAGGGACACTCACAGCAGAAGCTATTGTTTCTCCAAAACGGGGGCCTGAGCCCCTTGGCCTGGCAGGCGACTCCAAAGACTTGCAGGGCATCACAGATGGCACGGTTTTCACCTCTCAGCTCACAGAGGTTGTAGGTACAGCCAATCACAAAGGGCTTGGGGGTCACCTGGGTGGCACATTCAGACCAGTCGGAGCCCTGAAAGGCTGCTTGGCACTGCTCCTGGGCCCTCACTAGGTCGTCTTGCTTGCAGTTCCTATTCGGGTTCTCTCGGTGCTCTAGCCGAATCCCCCGGTCATCTCGTTCACAGCTGGAAAAGGAAAGGCATCAGCCCAAGGACAGCCACTGTCTCACCTGTGAAACCATCTACGTCAAAGACCCTGGGAGAGCTCTCAGGGGTTCTCTGGGAAGCCCGTCCCAGCTTCGGCCAACCTCCCATTGTTGCCTCAGTCTCCTCTCAAGTTTCAAAGCAAAGAAAGGAAGACTTTCATGTTTCCCCAAATAGGATCCAGTGCCCCTGAAACCCAGAAGTCATCCTCCCTCATATTAGAGATAGAAAGGAATGTTCTGCCATACATACAGTCCAAATTCCCAACTCTCCTGTTCCTATGAAAAAGTAGAAAGTCTAAGGGGATAATCACCTTGGGTTGGACTCATCCTTATCTTTCCAACTGTTCCCAAACTCAATGTCATTCTGGGCTAGCTCGTAATTGGGCATCATTAATTCATCTTCTTCCTCACCATTGAAATTTCCACACATACCACAGACCTGGGTGGGCAGAAGGATCTTTCAGTGCGGAGGAGGTATAGTGCTTTTTCTTTTCCACTCTAAATAGGAAGGGGCACTCCGGTCTTCCTTCCTCCTTTCTAGGCAGTGACTTCTGTGGTCTGGGAAGATGGCAATGTCCCCTCCTAGGGTACCTCCCCTTGGAAAGAGCCAAGTTGTATCTTCACCTTTTGGTAATAAGCTGGAGGGATCTGGATCTCCAAAAGATGATCACCATCAAATTTGACAAGCAGTCCAAAGTAAGCACTGAGCACAGTATAGATGCCATTGGCAATAATGGAGACCCGTCGGATCTGGGTGTTCGCAGGAAGAGTGACCTGTTTGCCATTGATCTGTAGAGGAAGGCAGGGCATGTAAACAGGAAGAAAGACCAGAAGCCTATCTCCCAAACTTGTGTCCTCCCACTCCCTGCCCTGGCCACATTGCCCAGCTCACCAGGACACGGTGGTCCTTTTGCAGGGTAACCTGGGAACCATAGATATAAATGTTGACGTGGTGGAGATAGAAAGCTGAGGCCTGGCCAGCCTGCTTCTCGCTCTTGGCAGTGATCTTGAAGAAAGGCAGGTCCATGGTGGGGTGGCACACTTGCACCAGGATGTAAGTGCAGGTCCCTCTGAAGGAATGGTAACTGCCATCGAAGCTCACGTAGTGAGAATCACCTGAGACATGGCACACTCCCATACCTGTGTGGAGAGAGAGAGAAGTGGCCAAGGAACAGCTGACCTCAGGCGAGGACAGAATCCCTAGGGAGGAGGCTCTGAACTTTCTCTGCCTTCATGAAAAGGTTGTGGTAGAGGCCAGGGAACCTCAACAGGGAAGGAAGACAAAGTTCAAGAAAAGAATCAAGGCACAAGAGCTGGTGGAGGGCAATGAGGCTTCAGGGTAGAGGGCGTCTGATTCGGCCAGGGAAGGATTCATAATACACCACTGAAGGGCCATGGATGCAACAGGAGAATGATGGGTAAAGGTCAAGGAGCACTTTCCAGAAGAAGAAAGGTCATCCTTCCTTTCTAGAAGCTCAGTGCAGGTTACCAACTCAACTGTTACAGAAAGCTGAAAGGCTGCAGTACGGGGTTGTGGGAGCTTGCCGTGGCGGCTCTGTGGTACTCCCCAGCCCTCCTACCTGAGGCCCGGCAGCGGAGCAACCCATCCAAAGGCCAGCAATTCTGGTTGGAGCCACATTTGCTGTTGCTGCAGGAGATGTTGTTTTGGCTGGAGCAGGTGCAGAGCTTGGAGCAGCTGCTGTCTGTGTACCAGTGCTCCCCAACCTGCGGGGCATGGGGATCAACAAAGCCAACAGACCCTTGGAAGCTAGAGATGGACTGAGGCCTGCAAGGTCCTCTTTTTTTTTTTTTCTTTAATTTTATTGTGATTTGAGTGAAAGTTTACAGAGCAAATTCATTTTCCATACAGCAGCTCACATACACTTTGTCTCATGACATTGACTACAATTTCCCACAATGCAACAGTTCCCCTCTCACTTCCTCCCCATAGCTACCTCTTCCCTTTATCTTTCCCTCCCATGCACTCCTGCCCCCCCCCCCGAGCTGTCTCCCTGTGCATACATAGCCCTTCTATTCTCCCATGATTGATCTCTCCAAGGAGTTCAGCTCCTATGCCTGTCTTTTGTTTGGCTAGAACCCCCAGGAGTAGGTTCAATTCCAGATCTTTAGGGCAGCTAGCGGCCATAGTCTCAAGGGTTCCACCAGACTCTATCAGACCAGCAAACCTGGTCCCTCTTTTTTTTTTTTTTTTTTTTTTTATGATTTTGAGTTTTGTTCCACATTGTTCTTCCACGCCATCCAGGATCTCCTACATAGATCCCCCTCCAAGTGGTTTACAGTGGTAGCCACACACCATCTAGTTCTTCTGGTCTCATAGTCATATAGGCTGAGGATCATATGATGTACCAGTCCCTTGGACTAACTGTTTTCATGGGTCTTTGTTTTACTTCATTCTTCTTTAATCTGGATGAGGAGAGACCCATTGTTGCATCTAGATGGCCGCTTGCAAGCTTTTAAGATTCCAGTTGCAACTCATCAAAGCAGGATGTAGAACAATGCTTTTGTGTAGTATGTTATGCCGGTTGACTTGATGTCCCCTGCAACCGTGGTCCCAAGCCCACAGGTCCGTCTACTCGCTCCCTCTGGGTAGCTGGCCATGGCCAAGAAGTGACTACAACCCACAAGGCCTTCTTGAAGCTCACTTCACTTGGTTGCCCTCCTCCATCTCAGCCCTTCTCAGCCTTTCAGCCTCTCGGCTTGCTCCTCATACCCCTGCACAGGCCACCCTACCCCCTCTCAGGCTTTGAGCCCTTCTGCCCCCTTGCCTGAGTTTGCCCTGTCCTCGCGCTCGTGAAGCTGCAAAGACAGGGCACCTGCAGTGTCTGGCCACTTACCGGGTGGTAGGAGCCCTGCTGGTCCGTGCAGCCACACTGGCTGAGGGGCACACAGGAGGTCCCGCTCAGAATATAGCCTTTCAGGCACTCACAGCCCTCAGCACAGGGCAGTGTGGGCGGGCAGTCTCTTGGTGCATGCATGCTGAGGCAAGTGGCTGGGCAGGGACTGGCACAGGGACTATAGCTGCTGCCAGGTGGGCACGTCAGAGCTAAGGAGAGAAAGCACATCAGGAAGGGTAGGGTGGCATGTCCAGCTAGCTCCCTGGCCTTGGGGCCCCAGAAGTTCCTAGGAGTGGAAAGAAAGGAAGAAAGGGAGCAGAGCTGGCCCAGGGAAGAAGACAGCAACCAAATGGGGGCAGAACTTCTGGGTGAGGTGAGAAAAGACAGAGAAGGTTCCACTGCAGGGAGGCAGGCGGAGGGTGAGGGTTGGGCTTGGAGGAAGACTGGAGAGTGGAGAGGAGGGTCCCCTGTGGGTATGGAGGACCAGGCTTGCCAACGGAAGAGCAGAAGAGGGGAATCTAGGAAAAGAGAGATGGGATGCTGGGGGATTCCTCCAGTCTGCGGGAGCAGGGAGGGGGTCAGGTCACTCACGGCAGAAGGTACTATTCCGCCAGGCAGGGGGCCGGCCCGCCCGGGCACAGAGGGCCGCGTAGGCCTGCAGGGAGTGGCACAGGGTCAGGGTGTCACCTTGAGTCCCACACTGCCCATACACACAACTGCTGAAGCTAAGATGCGGGGACACCACCGCGTGACACTTGGAGAAGGGTCCTGCAGGGTGAGACAACACAGGTGTGAGAGAGGAGTGTGGGCCAAGGAGCGGAACAGACCCACACAGCTTCTCGGCCTAATTCTACACCCATTTCTGTCGAAACCCATATTTACTGAGAATCTACTGCCTGTGGCAGTAAGAAGGACTGAGCAGTCATAGTCCCCAAGAAAGTGAACTCTGTCCCGGGTTTCAATTTGCCATTTTACTGTTTAATGCCTCACACTCTCCCCCTGGGTGACCAGGCGGGGGTGTGGCTTACCCTGAGGATTGGTTAAGATCTCACAGCTCCGATTCCAGATGTCGACCCTGTCTTTCCCTGGGCAGCTGGGGGGCTTGCCACCCGCAGCAAAGCAGCTGAATGAGGAGAGAAGGAAAGGATAAAAGCGTAGGGCTGGATGAGACTTCTAAAACACAGAGGCAAAATGGAGAGGACAAACGGGGATGGTAAAGAGAACAAAATGGCGTCCTCAAGTAGGAAGCCTAGAAAACGCAACAGGAAGGAAAAGGGTTAGATCTTAGAGTGACTTCCCCAGAAGGTTTTCCAAAGAGACAGATGGTTTAACATGGCAGGCATCAACAGTGATGGACATGGGCGGTTGAACAACTTTTCACCAACTCCAGTCTCACAGAGAACAGGGTGAAGGCTAGCACGAAGGGGCTAGGAATGCCGGGCCACGTCTCCAGCTGCTTTCTGAGGCCTAGCTCCCCTTCCCTAGCTCCCCAGTTCCCTGCTCACCCAGGTTCAGAGGCAGAACGTAACACCCAGGCTGTGCCCAGCTGGACAGAGTTTGCTGCTGGCTTCTTATCCGGGCGCAGATTGTCATCCAAGCTGTAGTTGTTGTAATTCCCTGGAGCAAGGAGGGATCAGCAGAGGCGGCAGAGGCATCTCCAGCCTCCCAGCTCAGCCCTTCTGTCTCCTCACTCTTCACTCAGCATATCAAGGTGACTCTTTCTCTTTCTCTTTGGCTTCCCAAGACCCCACCCACCCTTGCAATGTCCTCACCAAATCCTCAGTGACGAACACTTAATAGCCCACTGCCATCGAGTCATTCCGACTCACAGCAACCCTCTAGGACAGAGTAGAATTGCCCCCACAGGGTTTCCTAGGATATAAAGTCTTTATGGAAGCCAACTATCTCATCTTTCTCTCGCCGAGTGGATCGTGGGTTTGAACCCCAACCTTCCGGTTAGCAACCCAATACTTTAAGCACTACACCACCAAAGCTCTGTAGATGAGCATGTAGGACACCTGTTACAGCTGTCTAGATGACAAAGATTAGTGCCTAGCACTTGACTGCTCACCAGAAGGCTGGCTGTTCAAACCCATTAGCCACTCCTCGGAAGGAAGGTTGGGCAATCTACTTCCATAGTGATACTACCTTGGAAACCCAAGGAGGGGTCGCTATGAGTCGGGTCCATATTGACAGCACATAACAACACAACAACAACTGCAGGTACCCACGGGACTCACCACAAAGCCCACAGAGGCGACCGACGTAAGAGGAGGGTAGTGTCACGTCCACCAGGTGGTACCCGTCATATCGAACCCAAAGCCCAAAGTCCGTTTGGAGAAGGATAAAGGAGCCACTGAGCCCCACGCTCACCCGGCCTTCGGCAGACCACACCGGCAGGGCCACCCGGCGGTCGTTCAGCTGCAGAGGCAGGAAGGGCACACCTGGGTGTCAGGAGCTCAGGACAAGGACAACGACAAGGGCGAAACATGAGTGCAGGAGGGAAGGGGCGGAGGTCTCACAGCCGGAGGAGGGACGTCAAGAAAGAGGGGACTGGGGCTGCTGCAGCGACCCCAGGAGTCTGATGAAGCCAGACAGGTGGGCGTGTGTGTGAGCAGGAGCAGGCAGAGAAGAGGAACCGTGCAGCTAGGGCAGTGTGGGGTCAGGGGGTGGGGAGGCACCCACCATGACCTTCCGGCCCTTGATCAGTGAGAACCGGAGGTTGAAGACCTGCACATGGACAGCCTTGACATAGGAGACCTCCAGGTTCCCGTCCCGGTTCTCGTTGGTAGCGCTCACTATGAAATAGCTCTCTTGGGCATTGACCCAGCAAAGCCGTGCCAGGATGTAGGTGCAGGTGCCCATGAAGTGGTGCAGGGCTCCGTCGAAGGTCAGGTAGTGGGGGTCACCTGAGACACTGCAGGTGCCAGTACCTGGAAGGAGTGCAGAGACTCACTGTCCCTGAGGGACCCCAGAAAGCCCTGACCCAGAGCTGCCATTTTGGTGAGTCTGCGTTGGGATGGTACCCTCCCCCTTCACGGACCATTCCTACTTGGATGTGTGACCTGCTTGGTTTGGGGGACGACAAAGAAAGGCGTTGTCCCCAGACTTACTCTCTGGGTTCCTAAAGGTGCTGCTCTTACTCTGGGTAGCAACTATCTCATGGCCTTGGTTACCCACAACTCTCTGGGGAGGCTGCTCTAGGGAAGGTCCATGGCCAAGCTCAAGGATACATGGGGGCTTCCCCCAACCCCGTCCCCTTCCCCACCCCTCACTGCTCACCTTGTGCATGGCAGCCATAGGTGCCATCCTGCAGGACGCAGGCCTCCCGAGGACCACACTGCCAGAGCACACAGCGAATTTTGTTGTTGCCTTCACAGAAGCAGCGTTGCTTGCAGCCTACTTTAAACCAAGAGTCCCCTGTCTGGGGAGGGAAGGAGGGAAAAGAGGTTATCCCAGGCCCGCTCCAATAGCCAGCTGGACTCACCAGGGAGGCATTCTGCCATCTAGAGGCTCAGCATTTAATTGGGAGAGTAAGGCCTTCATTCGCTTATGTGTCCTTCTAATCATTTTTTAAGTCACTATTTCAATAGATCTTTATCCCTCTGTATCCTGCTAGGTGTCAGGGACTCAGCAATGAACAAGATGGACAATATACCGGTCCAGCACGTAGGGGCCGACTCGACAGCACATAACAACAACAACAACAATCGAACTTACAACCCAGTGGGAGACAGGAACCGAGTAAACTCATAGAAAGTGTATTTGAAGATGACACGTGCTCCAACCAGACAGCCAAGACACCGGACAGTAGTTCCCTACCATTGACAGAAACAGTATGCATTTGGTACAAGTGTTTGGAGAGAGAAGCTTTCTGACTTTGTCTATCAGGGAGGCTTCCTTGGGGAGGCAGCATTTCAATAGGGCCTCAAAGGAGGGTAAGGATTCGGATAGCCAGAGGTGGCTGGGAGGCAGCGCGAGAAGGGCTGACGAAAGGGCAAAACTGGGAGAAGAGCAAGGTGTGGGCCCAGAGCATTCGGTGGGCCAGGCTAGAGTCGCGGTGGGGCAGAGGGGAGGACAGTTCAGAGGAAAGTCACGCGGTGGAGGGCTTCCAGGGACCCTGATCTCTGGGCCTAGTGGGAGCAGGGCGCGGATGAAGGTCTGGCTCCAATGCTGCCTCTGTGAAAACTGAAAACGGGGGCCAAGGAAGAGACCAGGGTCCGTTGGGGGACAGAGACCCTTGGGAGGAGGGGAGAGAGAGTTTGGAAAGAGCACAGGTGAGACCCAGAGATGTGGAGGGGGGCAGGGAAGTCTGAAGGCTGAACAAAGGATTCCAAAGTGAAGGGCAGGGAGGGGCAGCAGGAAAGAGGGAGGGAAGGGAGCCAGTGGTCTCAGGTTCTGCAAAAAAACCAAACCCACTGGCATGGAGTCAATTCTGACTCACAGTGGAAACCACTGGGTCCAGAGTGTTAAACCTCTGGGAAGTAGATTCCCCGTCTTCCTTTCTCAAGCAGCTGGTGGGTTTGAACCACCCACCTTCTGGTTAGCAGTCAAATGCCTTAGGCCCACACCACCAGAGCTCCCTCAAATTCTGCAAGATGAATGGGAAATAACTGAGCCGTCCCCCTCTGCGTGAAGAGGACTGTAGCTGAAGAAGAAAAAAGGAAGTTGGCTCCGAGCCAGAGTGCTCCTGATCCCAGCCCTAAAGCCCTGGGCTGTTTCTCGGGCCTCCTACACAGGCCTTCCACCGTTGCCCAGAGCTGTTCTCCTAAGAGCTTGCCACAGATTTCCGAACACGGAGAAGTCCTTTCTGACTGCAGGGGTGAGAGGACCAGCCCCTGGCTGCTCACCTCCATGTAGGTCCCTGGGGACTGGACGCAGCCACACTGGTTTTTGGGGACACACCGAAGGCCACTGAGGACAAAGCCCGGATTGCATTCGCAGCCCTCCATGCAGCGGTCCGGACAGGACACACCAGAGAAGCCCGAGAAGCAGGTGTCGGGGCAGGACTTGGCACACAGGGAGTACCTGCTGTTGGGTGGGCAGGCCAGAGCTAGTGGAGAGAGCACAGGGGAGAAGGGGCGGGGCAGGGTGGGGGAAGGAGGAAGCATGTTGAAAGCACCCACCACACGGGGGCTCTGGCCTGGTGTGGGGCAGGGCCAGCAGCCAGGCTCCCATGGACAGTCCTTGGCCCCTTTCATCATGTTCCCCGACTAGCTGTCATTTGCTCTGTCCAGCAGGGTCTCTTCCCACATACCCATTTGTGACCACTTCTAAATAACTGGCTTTGCAATAAACACACTCAGGGGACCATGAGGTTAAAGGCACCTTTTTGCTTACTTGCTGTGTTTCCACATCAGACTGGTAAACCAAACCAAACCCACTGCCATTGAGTCGATTCCGACTCATAGCGACCCCAGACCCTCTTTGGGTTTCTGAGACAGTAAATCTTTACCAAGGGAGCTCTGGTAGCATAGTCGTTAAGACACTTGCCTGCTAACCAGACGGCTGGTGGTTCAAACCCACCAGCCACTCCTCAGAAGGAAGGTTGGACAATCCTACTTCTGTAGTGATACTGCCTCGGAAACCCAAGGAGGGGTCACTATGAGTCGGGTTTGACTCGACGGCACATAACAACAACAACAACAAATCTTTACCGAAGTAGATTACCCAGTCTTCCTTTCGTGGAGTGGCTGGTGGGTTTGACCTGCCAACCTTCTGTTAGCAGTCACATGCCTTAGGCTCATCGCCACCAGAGCTCCTTATATCAGGCTGAGGTCCCAGCTTTATAAGTACTCTGTTCCCACACGGGGAGAGAGAGGCTCTGTGCCTGGCTCATTGCAACCTGCCAGGGGGTCTCATTCCCGCCCACCCCAAGTCTCACGAGTCCTCCCCACCTCGGCTGCCCAATCTCAAGGAGACAGAGGGACTGGGAGATGTGTGACTAGAGTTTGCTCCCTAGGCCCCGAGGACCCTGCCTCCAGGAACCTGACCAAGCTGCAGGGTCAAGGGGCCACCACAGACCTCAGTGTGAGCAGACTGACCAAAGGAGGAAGAGCCTCAGCTTTGGGGACCTGCACACTGAGGCTTTGGAGCCGCCCTGTGAGGCCCACACGGCATGTGTTTGGACTGTGTGTAGGTGATTGGTGACTCGAACACATAGACAAATCTATACAAGTTCAGTCCACACAGCCTCTTGCCATACAGGAGGCTTTCTGAGTTTGCACATGTCTTTGTGAATTTCTCAATGAGAGGTGTTCACTCTGCAGACGTCACTGTCCTCGTGTGAAAACGAAGGGGTTTAGCCGGGCGGCCTCCAAGCTTGAGCTAACACACACACTAAGTTCTGAGACCCTGCTCATGTCTGTGTCTCAGGGAAGGGCACCTGCAGCCTCTCCCCTGTTCTTGGCACAACTCACGGCAGAACTTGGGGCTTCTCCAGGGCTTCACCAGGAGGCCCGCAGCCTGGCAGGTCTCTGTCAAGGCCGACATCTGGACACACAGTATTTGCTGCAGCCCTTGGAAGCTGCACATGTCAAACAAGCAGTTCTCGTAGTAGAAAAAGGCCTTGAGGCGAGGCAGGCATGCCCTGAGGGGAGAGGTCGAGTCAGAGGGAATGAGGGGGCAGACCCTCGGGGGACCCCGGGTCCCAGGTTGCCCGGCACAGCCCCTACTGCCCTCCTTCATACCCAAATATTCCATTGGGGTCAATGAGCCGACCACAGAACTCCGGCCCCAGCAGACTGTTATGCAAAGCTGAATCACAAGATGGAGGACTTGCCAGGTTCTGCTGACACCTAGAAGAGACCCATCCCAAATCCCCTAAGAGCTAAGGCTCACATCCATCCTTGGCACCTAACCCAGCCATCCTGGGCTAAATAATAACCTCAGGACTCTCGGCAACCCCTGGTGGAGAACATTTGAACAGCAAACTTACCAAACCAAAAAACCCACTGCCCTCAGGTCGATTCTGACTCACAGCGCCCCTAGAGGACAGAGTAGAACTGCCCCCAAGGGTTTCCAAGGCTGTCCATCTTTACAGAAGCCGACTGCCTCACCCTTCTTCCACGGAGTGGCTGGTGGGTTGGAACCACCGACCTTCTTAATGGCAGCCGAATGCCTTAACCACTGCACTGCCAGAGCCCCTTTCGCAAGCCCTACAGGAGGAGGAAATGCCTCGAGTCTTCGGAGACTGGCAAGCAAGTGGCTGGGCTTCTCAGAAAGGCTGAGGCTTCAGTACAATCAGTGAGAGAGTCCCTGGGTACAGGCTCAGCTGGTCATCACAAAGCTGGAGGTTTGAGGTCACCCAGAGGCACCTCGGAAGAAAGGGCCTGGTGATCTACTTCCAAAAACAGTCACTGAAATCCTGTGGACACAGTTCGACTCTCACACAGTAGGGTCATCATCATTTCAAATTGACTCAAGGGCAGCTGGTTGGGTTTTGTTGTTTGTTTTACAATCAGGGGTGGGCCGGAGAGATATGGTAATGGTTTCTTTAACTCGCTGGGGAGTTACAGAAGTGGAGGGAGGGGTGGAAAAGAGTAGGAAGGGAAAAAAGTGCTTAGTTCTTAAAAGGGCAAAGGAGCAGGAAGGCAGGAGGGAAATGGGGAGCCCGCCGGGGCACCCGGAGGGTCCCCACTCACTGCTTGTCCTCCTCCCCGGCGACGACAATCTGCCAGCTGTTGCCCAGCTCGTCGTCATTCTGGGCCAGGCTGCCGTCCGGCTTCTGGTTGTCATTACTGTCGTCACCGTCATAGTTTCCACAGAGACCACAGACTCGGCTAAAGTAGGTGCTACCACCAGGGAGAGAAGGAGGCATAAGGGGAAAAAGGGGCCAATCATTTGAGGGCCCACAAGCAGAGAGCAGAGTGGGCTGGGGGAAACCAGAGAACAAGATTGAGAGGTTTGGACTTTAAACAAGGGTCCCATGCCAGGCATCAGGCCCATAGGACCTCACAGGCCTCCCCCTCCTCCCCAAGACACCTTCATAGTCCTGATCTTCCCTTCTGCTCACACCCCATGTCTCTCGCCATCACAGACCTCCTCCTGGCCCTAAAACACGCCGGTTTCTTTTTGCATTAGTGTTCACTGCTCCCGTCAAGTCTTTCTTTACTGTGTTTGTCCTCTTCCTTGAAGACTGGGATCAAGTAGCCACTCTTCTGAAAGCCCAGCAGGGCCTATCAGTGACCCTTCTAGAACATTCCCAGAGCACTGTGTGTACAGCCTGAAGTCATCACCCAGCTCTGAACCCATTTCCTCCTGTCTGCTCATCCTGAAAGATGGCAGGTCTAGTGGTCTGCCCTTTCCCCATGCTGAGCTAAGTGCTTCCTACCCATCGGGAGGCTCATAAATGACTGAGAATTGGTCCAATAGGAGGAGGCAGAATCGAAGGGAAAGGATCCAGTGGGTCCTAGGAGCCAGAGGGGGCGGGACAGGAAGAAGTGGCAGCTGCCTTGCTGGGCCACCCTCTCACCTGGGCACAGTCACATAGAGCTGCTGGTCACCATCCCACCTCACCCGCAAGCCAAATGCTGTCTGCAGCTCCACAAACCGTCCACTCTGAGTCAAGAAGATACCTTTAGAAGGCATGGCCGGGAGAGTGACACGATAACCCCCAATCTGGAAGGTAGGGCAGAGGGGAGGAGAGAGACAAATGGGGGGTCAAGGAGGACCCCAAACAGATTCCCACATTCATGGCTGGGAGGCAGAACATCCTTCAGGCAATCCAACCTCTCCCACTTAGGGTGGTGTGGAGCTCACAAAGGACTTTTACCATTGTTCCTTTATGTTATCTAAGCCCAGCCCAAAGCAAGGAGCTCTGGTGGCGTAGTGCCTAAGGCACTTGACTACTAACCAGAAGGCTGGTGGTTCAAACCCACCAGGCACTCCTCTAAAGGAAGGTTGGGCAATCTGCTTCTGTAGAGGGGTCGCTATGAGTCGGATCCAACTCGACGGCAGTGAGAGTTTATACCAAAGTAAGTTTGAGGGCTGGAGGAGCAGCAAACCCAAGGCCACAGCAGCCCACAGGAGCAGGCCACAGCCCTGAGAGGGATGGGTAGGAGACAAGGCTCACCAGAGTGTGTCTGCCCTTCAGTAGGGTGATGGTGGTCTGGGGCAGGGTCACATAGACTTTGCTCAGGCAAGAGACACCTTCCTGTCCTCGTTCCTCATTCTTTATTGCCACCTTGAAGTATGGGTCTGGGTGGGGAGAGGAATAAAGACAGCCAAGGGATTCATTCAACAAACATTTCAGGGAATCCACTGTGGGTGGGGGCCCTGAGCCTGGCACCAAGGGGGTAAAGGCCACAGAGACATGGGCCCTGCAGTTCAATAGGGGAGGCAGGACACAAACATATATTCCCACTCCCAGAACTGCCTCTCTGTTTCTGCTTGGTGGACTGGGACATCCTCAAGAGCTGGAGCGTCTCTGGTATCTTTGACAGTGACCACCACAATGTCAGGCACAAAGTAGACCCTCAATAAAAATTTCTCAAGAAAGCAAATGATAAAAAGAAATAGGTTCAGCTACATTCTCCCCCCGAGTCTCTCTGGCCCTGAGGAAGCTCCTACTGCTGGCATGGACCTCTCAACCCTCAAGGTCTCCAGAAGACCTTGCCCTGATCTTGCCTCTTTCCCTCATCTGTTTCTACCCTTTACTGCTACCCACTGGACTCCCAAGATCAGAAGTTCTGACCTCATAACCCTCACCCAGGCCGTATCAAGCGTCTCCCGAACCTACCTGTTGAGTTGTTGCAGGGATGGGCCAAGAGGTAGGTGCATTTGCCCATGAAGCTAAAGTGCCTCTCATCAAAGGTAAGATAATGAGGATCTCCGTAGACCAAGCAGGTGGCAGTGCCTGCCAATGAGAGAGAGGGGGGTACATGTGAAGTTGCCTCTACCAGACTGAGACCCACATCCCACCTCACCCACCCAATGACACTCCCCAGCTCCTCTGGTCAAGGGAAGGGTTGGGACCCTGGTATCATACCACTGACAGGCTGGCAGGCAGGGCCAGCATGAGAGAAGAGTCTCACCGTAGGGGTGGCATCCATACTGGCTGTTCTGCAGCTGGCACACTTTGTGTGTCCCACACTGGGAGGCCTGGCACTCCAGGCGACCACCAGACAAGCAGCGGCAATGCTCTGTGCAGTTGGGGCTGAACCACTCGACCCCAGGCTGGGAGCAAGGATCTTGAGTCACACACTATAGCTCTTGGGACCTTTTCCCCTTGTTCTCCACACCATGCCAGCAGAGAAAATGCTCTCCTGTGCACAGACCTCACCTTGCTCATACTCTTCCCACCATCTACCAGACACCCCTTCCCACCACAGGACGTCTGCACATGCTGGTCTCTCATCTTCGAATGCTCTTCCCTCCCCTCTTTCTAAATCATTCCTTCACAACCAGAGGAGTTTACTCAGGGTCACTTTCTTAGGAAGGCTCCCCAGACCTCCTTGACTAGTTCACCCTCTTACCTCATAGTTTATCCTTCAGAGAATTTACCACGATTGCACTTTTATATTTATTTTTGTGATTGACCGGAAGCTTCCTGTGTGAGGGACTATGTCTGTTTCCGGTCGCCATCTTGGCACCAACATGTAGCACAGTGCCTAGCAGTGTTCTCTCATTTAATAAATCATTGAATGAAAGACGGGGCCAAGATCCACTGTAACCCTCAGTCTGAGAGCATTATGAAGGCAAGGCCCATGCCACATTCCAGGTGACCCCAACATCAGGAAAGCAGATGTTTCTTGTCCACAAATGAATAATAAGTGAATATGCCTCTCAGGGCAGAGGAAAGAGATGGTTGAGGCTGATGGCTGTAGCAGATCTTTCTACCCAGGCTGTGGCTGAAGCTAACCATAACATTGACACAGAGAGACCCTGGAGACTGGTTAAAGGGGACCTAGGGGAGGAAGTGGGCCCAGACAAGGCAAAGTTCTGAACATCAATGAAAGAACATCCAAAGCTGAAGAAGAGGCATTGCATACTAATGCATACTTAACACACTTTTGATGAATAGGTTGCATGTGATATTTATCATAAGTTGCTAATAATAATTAGCATTTATAAGTAACTGGTATGTGTCAGAATCTAATTTCATCTTCACAACAATCTTCTGAGGTAGGAAACCCTATTGTGCACATTTTAATAGATATGGAGACAGAGTTTGAGAGGTTAAGTGAACTTGCCCAAAGTCACCCAGCAAATGAGTGCTGGAGCTGGGATTCATTCTCAGTTGCCTGACTCTAGAGCTCACCATCCAATATGGCGGTCACCAGCCATATGTGGCTACTGAGCTCTTGAAATGTGGCCAGTCCACATTGAGATATGCCGTGAGCAGGATATACACATTGTAATTTGAAGACTTAAAATGAAAATAAAAAAGAACATATTTGGGACTCTTTCTTCTTCTCCACCTTGTGTAAGGAGAGAAAATGCTATCCTATGCACAGACTTTGTAATTTTGTGTTGATTGCATGCTGAAGCAAGATTAAGGACTGAGTGCGTTGTTAGAATTAACTTAGCCCGTTCCTTTTTCCTTTTCTAATGTGGTGCCAGGAAGTGTAAAATGATGTGTGTATAGCCTGCATGCAATCTGTGTTGGACAGTGCTGGCCAGAGACTGTACCCCTCCAGAGCCAACACCCTCGATGAATCTCCCCAGGAGACCATCTATTAGGGGAGACAGGAATAGTAATTCCTCCCTTTTTGACCCATCAGAATGTTCAAGTTCCTTTGGAAGAAAAGTCCAAGACTGGGAGCCAGAGTCTGCCCTGAAACGTGTCAGATGTGCCACTCAGTGCCCAGCACCCTCTGTGCACACAGGGACCTCAGGCTTTCCTCGGAGTGAATGGGGTGGCTTGTCCTTTACCACATGGCTAAGAAGCTCTGGTGGTGTAGTGGTTAAGGTTTTGGACTGCTAACCAAAAGGTTGGTGGTTCAAACCTACCAGTCACTCTGTGGAAGAAAGATGGGATGAGGTAGCCTGCTTGAGTAACCCAATGGGAGTAACTATGAGTTGGAATTGACTCAATGGCAATGAGTTTGGTTTGGTTTTCAGTTTTACCACATGATGGGTCTAATCCCTAATGCATCATTAAGGCTGCCTTTACAGGGCCAAGAAGTATGGGAATATGAGATTCTAAGGACCATGGGATCCTGATCCTTCTCCCTAGCCTGTCATCACACGAGACCAAAGGGGTTATTCAACAAATATATGTTGCATGAACAGATATGACCATTAAAAAAACATACTGAATGACTCTGACATTGTGTAACTATTGCTCTGGAGGTGATACCCACACCCCTTGAGCATCCCATTGATCCCAACTGACCTCACTGAGGGAGCACATGGAGCCAGAACCCAGGTGTCATGCTAGCAATTGCCCTCAGAGGCTCCAGGGATCCCACTGGTCTTACCTTGTAGTAGTTGTTGTTGTAGAAGCAGTCACAAGAGGAGGGTTGGATGCAGCGGGAGTGACTAAGCAAAAAGCCAGGATTGCAGGCACAGCCTGGCCTGCAGGGGAGCTGACAGGTGGGCTTGGGGTTCTCACAGGATGCAGGGCAGGCACAGGACTCATAGTGCGCATCGGAGGGACAGGTCACTAAGGGGGAAGCACTGCTTTAGTCAGTCCTCCATTCCACAGCCTTTCTCAGAGAGCTTTTCTTTCTTTCCTCTACCCCTAAACTCAAGCTGTTCTTTATTTTCTACAGACCCATATCATTCAGCCGTAAGAAGGAAGGAGGGAACCTTCATCCATTGCTGGTGGTGATGTAAATGGTACAGAAGCTGTGAAAAGTAGTTTAGCAGCTCCTCAAAAGGTAAACATAGAATTACCTTATGCTCTAGCAATTCCACTCTTTGGTAGAAACCAAAAAGAATGAAAGGCAGGAATGCAAACAGAGACTTGTACACCAATGTTCATGGCAGCATTATCCACAATAGCCAAAAGGTGGAAACAGCCTAAATGTCCATCAGCAGATGAATGGATAAACAAAATGTGGAACATACACACAATGGAATATGACTCAGCTATACAGAGAAACCATGTCCTGATATGTGGACAAACCTTGAAAACAGGCTGAGTGAAATAATTCAGTCACAAGAAGACAGATCTTGCATGATCCCAATTAAATGAAATATCTAGGATAGGCCAGTGGATAGAGACCAAACCAAGGAGCTCTGGTGGTGCAGTGGTTAAAGCATTTGGCTGCAAACCAAAAGATCAGTTGGTTGAACCCACCAGCTGCCCTACAGGAGAAAGATGAGGTGGTCTGCTTCTGTAAAGATGTACAGCCTTGGAAACTCTATGGGGCAGTTCTACTCTGTTCTATAGGGTAGTTATGAGTTGGAACCAACTCAATGACAGTGGATTGGTTTCTGTTGGTCTACAGAGAGACCAAAGTTTATTAGTGGTTCCAGGGATGGGTGGGAGGGAGGTGGAAAGGATGACCCATTGCTTAAGGGACACCGAGCTTCTGTTAATGGTGGTAGGAAAACTTGGGAACAGTAAATGTAATAATGGTTAAACAATGTGATGAACATAATTAATGTCACCAAACTGTACATATGAAGATTGTAGAAGTGGCAACTGTTCTGTTACCTATGTGCTTATGAGAATCAAAAAAATACATTTTTTAATTGACATATTGAAATATGTTACAACGTGGATGAACCTTGAAAACATTATGCTACATGAAAAAAGCTAGACCCAAAAGACCACAAATTGTATGATTCCATTTCCATATTCCACAATAAGTAAATCTATAGAGACAGAGAGTAGCTTAGTGGTTGCTTAGGGTTTAAGAAAAGGATGGGAGTTTGGGTGATAGCTAAAAGGTATGGGATTTCTTTCTGAGATGATGAAAATGTTCTAAAATTGACTGTGCTAGTGGTTGTATGCATGTGTAAATATACTAAAACCCACTGAACTGTACACTTCAAATGAGTGGATTTTATGTTATGTGAATTACATCTCAATAAACCAAATTATTGGTTCCCAACAACTCCGACCCCACCCCTGCCCTGCTGTCCCTCTGACCAAAGATAGTCTTCATCATTTCTTCTAAAGTCTTCATGGTCTGATTTCTGTTCTCCTTGAAGACTGCATTTGTTTCTGCCCGAAGTATACCTTTCCTTAACTATCTCTCCTTCTGTTTCTTACTTTCAGCAATTTGTCCAGTGCCCACCTCATACCTGGAGCAGGTCTAGGAGTTGCAGTGGTGCCGAGGGCTACACTGGTCATGAAGGCACTTGAAGCAGTTGGAGTCGTCACCAAGACTGGCCCACTGGGTTTGAGTGTTGGGCTGGTGTAAGGTACCAACGGAGTTGTGTGCTTTTCTGTGGGGGTGGTGGGCTTCCCTGTGGGGGTGGTGGGCTTCTCAGTGGCGACGGTGGGCTTCTCATTGGCGACGGTGGGCTTCTCAGTGGGGACAGTGGGCTTCTCAGTGACGATGGTGGGTTTCTCAGTGGGCACGGTGGGCTTCTCAGTGGGGACGGTGGGCTTCTCCGTGGGGACAGTGGACTTCTCAGTGGGGACGGTGGGCTTCTCAGTGGGGACGGTGGGCTTCTCAGTGGCGACGGTGGGCTTCTCAGTGGCGACGGTGGGCTTCTCAGTGGGGGTGGTGGGCTTCTCAGTGGGGACGGTGGGCTTCTCAGTGGGGACGGTGGGCTTCTCAGTGGGGGTGGTGGGCTTCTCAGTGGGGAAGGTGGGCTTCTCAGTGGGGACGGTGGGCTTCCCAGTGGGGATGGTGGGCTTCTCAGTGGGGGCAGTGGACCCCTCACTGGGGACTGTGGACCCCTCAGTGGGGACTGTGGGCTTCTCAGTGGGAACGGTGGACTCCTCAGTAGGGATGGTGGGCTTCTCAGTGGGCTTTTCAGTGGGGACAGTGGTCTCCTCAGTGGGGAGGGTGGGTTTCTCAGTGGGGAGAGTGGACTCCTCAGTGGGGACGGTGGGCTTCTCGGTGGGAACGGTGGGCTTCTCGGTGGGGGCAGTGGGCTTCTTTGTGGGAGCAGTGGGCTTCTCGGTGGGGATGGTGGTTTTTTCGGTGGGGACAGTGGGCTTTTCAGTGGAAATGGTAGGCTTTTCTGTGGGAACTGTGGGCGTTTCTGTGATTGTGAGTTTTTCAGTGGGGATGGTGGGCTCTGCAACAAGGAGAGTGGACTCTTCAGTGGGGACTGTAGGCTCTTCAATGGGGGCAGTGGGCTCCTCAGTGGGGATAGTGGGTTTTCCAGTGAGGACAGTGAGCTTTTCTGTGGGGACAGTGGGCTTTTCTGTGGGGACAGTGGGCTTTTCAGTGGGGGGGGCGCATATTTCTGTGGTGATGGTGGTTGTTTTTGTGGGGGTGGTATTCTTCTCAGTGGGAACAAGGCATTCTTCTGTGGGGAAGGTGGGTTTTTCACTGGGGACAGTGGGTTTTTCTGTGGTGACAACAGTAGGTGGAACTGGGTGTTTCATAGGAAGCACTGCAAAAAAGAAACAAACAAACAAACAAAACTTAGAATTTAGTCAAAATCATACACCGTCTTCTTTTCTCATACCTCGTTAAAATAGGTAGGCTCAAAGGTATGACTTATTCACACCTGTTCTTTGACTCCCAACTCCCAACTTTCACTCAACAAACAATCTGATTCTAATATATGTCAGATACTGTGCCAGGCAAGAAATACAAAAATGAATAGGATATGGTCCCTGCCTTCAGGATCACCATTTACTAAGTAAAGGGTTCTGGATCCAGCCACAGAAATTCATGGCATTGAAGTCACACTCAATCAAGCATTCTGATGGGATCAGGGAAATGAAGGTAGGTAGAATACAGAAAGATAAAGTCAGACAGGAAAACAGAGTCAGCTCTGTGAAAATATGTGCAAGAGAAAACTTATATCTTAAGCAATTCATACGGATGGTCATTCCAGGGCACAGACCCCTTGCCAGGACCCTGGGTTTCATCTTACCTGGACAAGCCCCATGATGGATCAAGATGAAACCCACAGCAACATCAAAGGTAGGGTTGGCACTGACAAAAGCCTCAAGTATCAGCTGAACAAAAGGAGGAAGAGAGAGATGAAAATTAAATCTTGGCAACTCAGTGACTTTGCTGGGCCTGGACTATGTCCTCTCAAAATGGTGCCTTGTTCTGGCCTCAACAATCCAGCCCTGCTTCCTCCTTTGCAGGAGCCAGAGATCTTCTGTAACATTAAGTTCATCTTCCCCATCTCCTTTCTAGCTTCCCATCTTCTCAGCCCTTGTCGTCCACCCCATCCCAGGCATCATGTTCTCCTCACCATGCACCACACAGATACACGCACAGCACACTCTCTCCATCTCTCACCTGCATGGGCTGTTGACGTCCTGAAGGGATGGTGAAGGAGGCCTGCTGCCACGTAGGGCTCTGAGATCCCACATGGCTCCAGAGAGAACTTGTGACACTACTTCTTGGAGTCCCCAGCAGGAACTTGAGCATAACACCCTCTTCAGGTCCATACATGTGGTAAGTAAACTCCACGCAGATTGCCTCAAGGGCACAGAAAGACCTGCTCAACAGTCGGACAGGATGCATTGTCTGAGAGAGCTTGTCAGGCTTGAGGTAGATGTAGTGATGACTCTCTGGGCAAAAGGAGGGAACAGGCAAGATCAGAAGCTTTGACAGGATACTTCTTTGGTTGCTTTAGCAACTTGATTCCCAAATGGGAGTCTGATGCAGGCACCCAAACTCCGCACACTATACCATTATTTTCTGCTTGTTTTGGACTTCTAACTCAAGAAGGCAGGATCAGAAAGAATGGGAGAACCAAAGCAACAAATCTTTGTCAGCTGCATCAGTAAATAAGATGAGATAGTAGATTCTGAAGCCTTGTTCTCAATGAAATGAGATGTCTGGCTTTTGGGGGGAGGGGTGTCATTGGTCCTAAGGCCATGCTCTGTCATCGCCAAAACTCCGGCCCCATGATAGTTTCCCAGTCATCATCTGGTGACTCATCTCCACCACCTACAACATCCTCTCCAGTGACACCTCCTCCATCAATCACGCTCACCAGCCCCATACCTGAGAGTAGATTCAGTGATTCAAGATGGCTTGAGGGGCCCTCAAACTCCTCACCTCCATTAGGGGAACCTCCAGAGGGATGATTTGTGCCCTGGGTGGACGTATTCCTACTTCCTCGGGTCCAGTGTGCACCATCCCTTGATTCCTGGATCCAGTCACAGAAGGGATGGGCATCATCTTCAAAGTCACACTGAGGAAAGCTCTCTAGATCAAGGGGGGGGGGGGATTTGAGAAATTTTGACCATGCTCTTCCTTCCTACCCCACTTCACCCCTGATTCAGAGATATCTGGGCCTCCCAGGTCCTGCTCTCACCTCCACAGGGAGCAATGCTGACTGCATCCACTGCCACAGCTGGCTCTGGGATTGCTCCAAACACGCCCACCATGATGAACTGAAGAGAGAGTTGGCCCGGAGTGAGCACAGAGTCCAAACCCCCAAGGCTCTGGTCTTACAACTCCATTCAGAGACCTAGACATCCTCCTCCCTGTGCTCAGATCTTCGATTCATTTCAACACTAGGAGTGCGTGCCTTGTGCAGGAAAACCAACCCCTTGTGGCTCTGTACCTGAATCTGTCCTTTGCTTGTAAAATTGACAGACACGGGCTGCCAGTTGGATCCAGGCTGTCCTGAGAAGAGAGTGTGTTTCTGAACACTACCTGCAATGGAAGGAATCAGAGAGAAAAGTGAGAGCAAGATTTGGAAATTACTTCAAAACTATCCTCAGAAGGGTGAGTAGCAGAAGACTTGGGGTCTCCTCCCCCCAAATGCAACCACGCCCTTCTCTCTGACTCTCCTGACATCTTTATCTATTTTTCCAGAATCCATTGTCCCCCAGGTCCCCAATTTCATCCACGGACTGTCCTATATGCCAGACTTCCCTAGACCCTGAGGGATGCCCCTTGTTTCCCCCTCAACCCAACCCTGGGAGATGAACTCGTGAATGAAGTGTCAATCTCATGAGTTTCTCACTCTAACCTAAGGCTACAGCCTTGATGATGAACGCTGCACCAGCAGTCCGGGCCCGGAGGATGTAATGCAAGGAGAGGCTCAGACAGCCAGAGGAGTGGCTCAACGGACTCAGGAGGATGGCTTGTTGCCCTGGTTTTGCATCCCTGGGGTCCAGGAGCATGTAGGAGCCGTCTGGGAAGGAAAAGGGAGCAGGAAAAGTGGAGTACCTGGGTTTTGGGGGGAGGGTATGACATCAGAGATAGGGCTATGGGTGGCACTTGGCCCTGAGGAGCCCAACAGCTTCCCAGAGTTAGCAGCCCTGAAGGGTGTACACCCCTGCCTTACAGACTGAATGAGCGTCAGTGCTCCCAGAAGTGCTTGGTGGAACTGGGTAAGGAGGCCGCCATGTAAAAGGCAGGCATTCTCTCAGAAGCAGCAACTAGAAAGCCATTGTCCTTTGAGTCCTGACTTTTTTAGAATCCCTAGTGTTATGGTCTCTTTCTTTTCTTGCTCCCACTAGACATAGCTGATTCATACAAAAACGTGAGTAAGGGCTGGCATCTTTTCATGCACACACCCTGAAGAGCGTCAAGCAGCCAATAACGTGAGCCATGTTTCATGACGTTACCTGCAACTAGGGCTACAGTCTAAGCTGCCGCTACCACGTGAGGAGCGCCCTCATGCGCCACACCTGCTTGACACTGCTGTATGGTGTGAGGCCGGGAAGGTGGGCCCAGGGAAGGGGGAGAAGAAGGAGGCTAAAAGAGAGGGAAGGCAGAAGTGGGGAAGAAGAGAAAGGAGAGTCAACAAAGGAGGTAGTAAAATGATGAAAAAGAAAATGAAGAATGATACCTGTACTGATCAGAAATGGAAAAGAAGTGGCAAGAGAAGGAAGAGATGTGAAAATCTAAGGAAGTGAGCAAGGTGGAAAAAGGAAGAGAAAGGGGAAAACATGAAAAATCAGCCACTAGTTACTGAAACCCCTGGGACCCTGTGCTAAACACTGGGGGGACACAGGGATGCACTGGGGGCCCTCCTCTCCAGGGGCATAGTATGAAAGAGGGGTCGGGGGTTTCTCAGTACTTTTCAAGAAGGCAAACCTGAGGTGGCAGGAAAGATCTGAGGAAGGAGGGCATTGTGTTGGAGTGGACAGAAAAGGCTTATGAAGTGGGCTGAGACAAAGATGGCGGGAAAGAGAAATGGAAATAGGAAAATGAAAAAGTAATATGCAGAGAGGGGGTTGAGGGTGGAGAGACTCAAAGCCACAGTCCTGACAATGGCTTTCAAGGCTCTGCAAGACCTGTCCCTTCCATGATGCCTCTGAGCTCATCCTGTCTCCCTCTCTCCTCCAATCACCCATCCCAGCCACCCTGGCTCCTTGCAGTCCCTCAGACTCCCCAGCCCTATGGCTACCTCGGGGCCTGTGCGTGGCTGCCCCATGCCCGAAATGCTCTTCCCCCAGATAGCTTCATGCTTCAGTTCTTCAGCTCCTTTAATGTGACCTGAATGAGACCTACTCTAAAATTTGCAACCCACTCCATGTCTGCATTTCCAATCCCTTTACTTTACTCAACTTTCCTTTTTCAATAGCACTGCTCACTCTGTTGTTGTTGTTAGGTGCTGTTGAGTAGGTGCCAACTCACAACAACCCTACGTACAACAGAACGAAATATTGCCCGGTCCTGTGCCAGCTTCACAATCTTTGCTATACTTGAGCCTATCATAGCGGCCACTGTGTCAATCCATCTCAATCAGGGCCTTCCCCTTATCTGTTGACCCTCCACTTTAGCAAGCATGATATCCTTCTCCAGGGAATGGTGCCTTCTGATAACCTGACCAAAGTAGGTGACACAAAGTCTGGCTGTTCTCACTTCCTGGGATTGTTCTCACTTCCTGGGATTTTTCTCAACTCAGCTGTACTTCTTCCAGGACAGATCTGTTATTTCTTCTGGCAGTCCATGGGACTATCAGTATTCTTCATCAACACCGCAACTCAAAAGCATCAACTCTTCTTCAGTCTTCCTTATTCATTGTCCAGCTTTCACAAGCATATGAGGCGATTGAAAATACCATGGCTTGGGTTAATCTTCAAAGAGACATCTTTGCTCTTCAGGTCTTTAAAGAGAAGAGGCCTTTGGCCGCAGATTCGCCCAGTGCAATTATACGTTGTCTGATTTCTTGACTACTGCTTCCATTGGTGTTGATTGTGGAACCAAGTAATATGAAATCTTTGACTTCAATCTTTTTTCCATTTATTGTGATGCTGCTTATTGGTCCAGTTGTGAGGATTTTCATTTTCTTTAGGTTAAGGTGTAATCCATACTGCAGACTGTAGTTTCTAATCTTCATCAGTAACTGCTTCACGTCATCTTCACTTTCAGCAAGCAAGATTGTGTCATCTGCATATCGCAGGTTGTTAATGGTTCTTCCTCCAATCCTGATGCCATACTCTTCTTCATATAGTCCAGCTTCTTGGATTATTTGCTCAGTATATAGACTGAAGAAGTATAGGGAAAGGAGACAACCCTGATGCATTCTCCCCTCCTGATTTTAAATCATGCTGTGTCCCCTTGCTCTGTTCCAATGACCGCCTCCTGGTCTCACCCTTTGTTGTTGTTGTTATGTGCTGTCAAGTCGGCCCCAACTCATAGCGACCCCTCCTTGGGTTTCCAAGGCAGTATCACTATGGAAGTAGATTGCCCAACCGGTCTCACCCTATGACAACATAATTTACTTATGGTTTCAGTAACTGTCTCCCTCAGCCACTTAACACTCTTCATCTGACACTGATGTATCCCAAGTGCCAGGGACATTGCCTGGTACATGTAGGTGTTCAATAAATATTTGTAGAATAAATGAATGAATGAATGAAGAAAGAAGGAAAGGTGTTAGGAAAAGAAGGTAAGGGACAGTTGTGCTGGGTCTGTCAAGTAGAGTCTCCAGGGTAGCAGTGGTGGGAGCTGGGTGTGTGCTTGGATGTTGCTTCTGCTGTGAAACCCACACTGATAGTGGTTTGAGGTTCTTCCCAGCAGAACTGTCCTGAGTGTTACAGTTGGGTTAAAAAGCAAACATTGCATGCTTCCACGGAGTTCATTAGAAGGATGGCAGCATGGAAGCATTACTCACTACCAGGCCTGGAGAAGTCGTCCACAGGCCCCGCATATGGATCCCCCGATGACCCCGTCTTCTGGATCCATCTGGCTCCAGTAGGGGTTGGGATCCAGCTCCAGCCACAGAGGTCATTTGGAGTGTCAAAGTTGCAGGTTTGCATCACACAGTCTGAGGGGAAAGGAAGGAGGGGAGGGTTTAGCTCAGTAAAGTATGCTTCAATCCGGGGCTGCAATACCGAGTTCCAATCTGGGTCCTGTCATGAGCCTGGTGGGCTTTTTTGTTTGGTCATTTGTTTTTCAACTTTTTCTTGTGATTTGGGAGAAGGGCCCTCTGCCGACTGGCTGTATTCCTGGTGTAGATTATTTAACCTCCCCAAGCCTCAGTTTCCTAATCTATAAACTGGGGATAACAGTGCCCACTTCATGGAGCTGTCACTGGATGTAAATTAAATGATGTGTGTGGAGCATCTCATACAATGCTGGTGCTCAGCAAGTGTTGGTTCCTTTTACCCAGCTTCCAGAATTTTCCATCTCTTGGATTTCCTGCCCTGAAATCCCTAACTTGAGTCTGGAGAGCTAATCTGCATGGCTGTGGGTACCAGCTAGGGTGACCAAACATTCTAGTTTGCCCAGGCCTGTTGGTTTTTTGGGACGTGGAACTTTCAGTGCCAAAAATGAGACAATTCAGGGCAATCTGAGACAGCTGGTCACTCCAGAACAGGGATCAGCACAACGCTATGTTAAAGGTAATTTAACCTCTGTGTAGGTGTGGTTGCTTCTGGAGTCAAAGATGTGGGGTGTGGTGAAAGAGAGGAGCAGGTGGCCCCTATTTTGTCTGAGGAATCAGTGTCATAGGCCCTGAGCTATTCCTGCCACCCTCAGCATCAGTGGAGGTAGGAGAAGGGCTCACCCTGATGGCAGGCACCCCGAAGGATGGACAGGGCATCCAGAGCGATGTCCAGATAAGCATTGCTGCCTCTCACTGCCTCAAACATCAGCTGTAGGAGGAAGGGACAAAGCCACCAAAACCTTGTGAGCCTCTTGACCAGGACTCCTGCCCCGTCTCTGTCCTTAGGCTCTTTCCTGAAATCAGATGGCCTGGTGCCCAGTGTCCTCTCCTTGCTACTGCCCACTGCAGGCCTCCCAACACCCAGCTTCCCACTGGGGCCCCTGGCTTCACCCTCGGCCTCACCCTGCTGGGCTGGGTGAGCCTCCCGGGCACGGTGACAGCAGTGGGCACCCAGGAGGTGCTCTGGGTGTTTGCGTGCCTCCAGAGCAGATGGGGACGCCCATCCTGGGTGCTGGGAAGCAGCAGCAGTTTGAGCTGGGCACCCCACGATAGTCCAAACATGTGGTAGGCAAAGTGCACACACAGCGGCCCGGGCTCCTTGACCACAGGGCTACGCAGGCGGGCCACCCCGCCCCGGCGAAAGACTCGTGCGTCCATGAGCAGGTAGTAGCCCTCTGTGGGAGGGAGGCAGAGCCCAGATATGAGGCCCCCCCAACCCTGACACTGCCCCTACCACCCCTGGCTTCCAGCTGCCCCCTCCTCCCTTCACCCAGATCTCCTAGCTGGCTCCCCACCCACCCGCTTTCCTCCCTGAACCAAAGGGCTCTTGCAGGCCCCTCACGTTTGTTGGGGTACCCTCCAGGGGGCCCAGTGGTGTCAGTGTGCTTAGAGCCCCTGGCTCGAGTCCAGTCCCCGTCATCTTCAGACCCTTGGGTCCAGCCGCAGAGGGGGTTGGTGTCATCCTCAAAATCACACTGTGTAAGAACAGCTGGGAGAAAAGGGGTTCTATGAGGCCAAGGGGCAGGGAGAGGGCAGTGCTGAGCCCAGCTGGGGGCTGTGGGTCAGCAGGAGGGCTGAGAAAAGGGAGCTGCCAAGATGTGGGGTCCAGATAGAGTCTGGTGGAACCCTTGAGACTATGGCCCCTAACAGCCTTTCAGGTCTAGAATTGAACCCACTCCTGTGGCTTCCATCTAAACAAAAGATAGGCATATGAGCTGAACATTTACATTAGGTAGATACACTCCTTAGAGAGATCAATCACGGGAGAATAGAAGGGCTGTGTTTGCCCAGGGAGACAGCTCAGGGAACAGGAGTGCATGGGAGGTAAGGAAACTGAGAAGAGGTAACTATGGGGAGGAAGTAGGAGAGAAGCTGTTGCATTGTGGTAAATTGCAGTCAACGTCATAAGACAAAGTGTATGTGAGCTGCTGTATGGAAGATGAATTTGCTCTATAAGCTTTCACCCAAATCACAATAAAAATTAAAAAAAAAAAAAAGTGGGGTCCAGAGCAGAAGTCTGGGAGAGACAAAGAAATAAGTAATGTCAGGAGGAATTCAGGGCTTGGTGAGCAGTACCACTAGGACAGAGGCCACAAAATGGGGCCCAGGGGTCTAAGTTCAGCTGGGCAGATTGGTCTGGGAAGCATACTTCTGTTGTTTGTGAACTTGAATGTGAACTTGAATGTGAGTCTCAGGCAGAATGTGTGTTCTAGCTCTCCATAGCTCTCATCACCTTGATCATCTCAGGGTGGCCCTTCACACCTTCATCACATGTATGTGGCATCACCGGTGCCAAGGGCACTCGAGGTGGTTGCCCCTGGGCTCGGAACTTGGTGGGAGGAAAGATCTTAGTTTCCAACTCACAGTTGTTTGCAGAGCGGGGAACTACTAGCTTCCAGTCCAGAGGCGTCTCCCTCCTTGGGGTTGTTTTGGAGAAAGAGAAAAAGTGACATTTGTCACTTCAAGCACTAGAAGGCTCGACAATCAGGAGCTTCCCAGGTGGTGATTTGTGTATGAGTTTTATTTTCTTTTTGTTTCTCTATATGTTAAGGAGCTCTGGTAGTGTAGTGCCTAAGGCACTTGACTGCTAACCAGAAGGCTGGTGGTTCAAACCCACCAGCTACCCCTCGGAAGGAAGGTTAGGCAATCTACTTATGTAATGATACTGCCTCTGAAACCCAAGGAGGGGTTGCTGTGAGTCAGGTCTGACTCAATGGCAAATAATAACAACAACAACATATTGTGTTAGGAACTTATATTACTTGTTTTCTTTAAGTTTTTCAGAGAGGTTACCCACAGCTTCCTCACCTTAAATCCTTCTCTCTCTCCAAGGAAGTGGCCCCTTTGAGCTCCTCACACCCCCACAGGTATCCTCACTGGGGGCACTGAGCCCTGAGTGTCTGATCCCCTCTTCTGGAGGAATTCTCATTTAGTCCTTGATCAGTTTACACCTGGGGAGCTCCTTCATTAGATGTTGAGCTCTTTTGGAGTTAGATTCCCAATTTTTTCCCATAGAACAAGGACTATATTGGTCTCCTGTTGCCAAGTAGTATTTCATCCACCATATGCAAATGAACGTATGTGAATGACATATAAATGTGTAAAAAAGAGGAACTAGCCCCTAATCTGTCTTCCTAACCTTACATATTCCGCAGAGAAGTTGGCTGCCCACAGCAGTCAGTGTGGGCCCCATAGGACAGCCTTTTGTTTTTTTTGCCCAAGTTTTCCTTGTTCAAATTCTACCTGACAAGCTCCAGGACACCAAGCCATCTGTCACTTCTGGCTGCCTCCTACCTGTAGTCTCTCTGATCACTGGGTCTAACCTGGGCTTATTCATTTTCTAAGGGCCTGACCTCTGCCCTCCCCGCCCATCCTCACGCCTGCCTCCCACCTTACCCCTTCCCTGCTCCTCATGCTGCAGCTCCGTCCTCATTCCACTGGGCTTCTCCCACCCAGAACCCAGCCCTCAGACTCAGGCTCTAGGACCATAGGGCTCCTCCATTCCCATTCATCAGTCTTCTTTGCATCCTGTGGGTTCCCTACCCTGTTCCCCGGGGATCTGCCAGAACCACCCCCAAGTGCAGTCTGCCCCAGATTTATCGTTATGTCCTGAGCCCAGCTTACCTGACAGGGGCAGGCGTGTGGCCCTGGCCCCAGGCTGCCTCCAGAAGTAGCACCAAGGTCCAGACTGAAGGAGCCATGAGGAACCCCAGAGTCAGCTTTCGGGGGAGAGGGGCAAGGACACAATGCGGAGCCTAGACCACATTTATCCACTCCCCACCCTCCTTTCCTGAAAGCCCTCCCATGATGCCATGGAAAACTGACAATCAGGAAAGAAAAAACAGCACTGGGAAATTAAAGCTATGATAGTTAAAATTTCAAATCCAATAAGAAAGTTATAAATGAAATCAAGGGAAGAAAATTGAGACAGAGAAAAGAAAAAGCTGAGAGAAAAGGCAAGAGACTTGGAGGATCAATCCAGGAAAGCTAACATGCAATAAAAAGAGTTCAAAAAAGAAAGAACAGAGGAATGAAAATTATTTTTAAAAAATACAGTAGTATTTCCCAAAACTGAAATACCTGATTGATTAAAAAGATGCCTTGTACAATGAATGCAGAACACCCATGGAAGGCATGTGATGAAATATTTCAGAATATTGGGTAAAGAGAAAACCTTGAAAACTTTCAGAGAGAAAAAAAATAAGTCACATACTGAGGATCAGGAAGCAGTAGGGCAGTGGGCTTTTCGTTAGCAACCAGGGATTCTAAAAGGCAGTGGAATTTTGCGGAATTCCAATGGACAATCATACAAACCTAAAATTCTGTAGTTGGTAACCCAATCCCCTGCCATTAAGTTGACTCACAGCAATGCCCATGGGGTTTCCAAGGCTGTCAGTCTTTATGGAAGCAGACTGCCTCATCTTTCTCCCCAGAGACTAGTGAGTTCGAACCACTGACCTGTTGGTTAGCAATCGAGTGCCTTCGTCACTGAGCTCAAGTTAAAAAAGAAAGGTCAAATGAGAACTGAAAATATCTTTGGGCAAAGATTTCAAAGAGGAAGAAATAAACAGGAAGAAAAAAATAAACAAGTAAGGAGATACCCCGCTTCAGTAATAATAAAGCAGTTCCCATTGTGTAGAGTTGGTTCTCATTCATGGTGACCCCATGTGTGTCAGAGAACTGTGTTTCATAGGACTTCCAATGACTGGTTTTTAAGAAGTAAGTTTCCAGCAATAACAGAGACACTAATCAAACTAAAACTGTCACAGTAACAAAAAACTTAGAAGATTAATAGCATTGAATGTTGACTGGGGTGCAGGTAGACATAAACACATCGCTGATAAGACTGTATGTTGGTTAAAACTTTTTGGAAGGCAACTTGACAATGACCATTAAACTTCAAATGTGTATATCTCTTGAATCAGTATATTCTTTCTAGGAATCTTCCTACGGAAATACACATATGTTTACACAAAGACATACCCTACACATGTCCTTGCAGCATTGTTTACATGAAACCCAAAAACCCACTGCCATCAGATTCAGACGCATAATGACCCCCACTGGGTTTCCAAGGTGATAAATCTTGTTTTTTTTAATTGTTATTGTCATTGGGGTGAAAGTTTACAGAGCAAATTCATTTTTCATACAGCAGTTTATACACATTTTGTTTCATGATGTTGACTGCAACTCCCCATAATGTAACAGCTCTCTTCCCACTTCCTCCCTGTAGTTACTGCTTCCCTGTGTCCTTCTTTCCTATGCATTCCTGCCCCCTGAGCTATCTCCCTGTATAAATTCTGCCTTTCTGTTCTCCCATGATTGATCGTTCTACGGAGTGTATCTACCTGATGTAAATGTTCACCCCATATGCTTGTCTATTATTTGGCTGGAAGGCACAGGAATGAGTTCAATTCCAGACCTGAATGGTAACTAGGGGCCATAGCTTGGGGATATGACAAGGCTTTATCAAACCAGTAAACCTGGTCTTTTTTTTTTTTTCCTCATTATTTTGAATTTTGTTCCACATTGTTCTTCCAGTATATCCAGGATCTCTTGCACTGATTTCTTTCTGAGTGATTGATAGTGGTAGCCAGGCACCATCTAGTTCTTCTGGTCTCATGGTCATACAGGCTGAGGATCACATGGTTTACTAGTCCCTTGGACTAATTGTTTCCATGTGTCTTTGCTTTTCTTCATTCTTCTTTGCTCTGGACAAGGAGAGATCCACAGTTACATGTAGATGGCCGCTTGTAAGCTATTAAGATACAAGGTTGTAAATCTTTACTGAAGTAGATTACCCCATTTTCCTTCCAGGGAGCAGCTCATGGGTTTGAACCACCAATCTTCTGGTTAGCAGTCAAATGCCTTAGGCACTGTACCACCAGAGCTCCTTCTTACCAGTAGATATGTGATTAAATCATATTCCTGTTGCCATTGAGTCAATTCTGATCATAGCTACCCTATAAGATAGAGTAGAACTGCCCTACAGGGTTTCCAGGGTTATAATCTTTACAGAAGCAGAGTGCCACATCTTTCTCCTGAGGAGTAGCAGGTGGGTTCAAACTGCTGACCTTTCAGTTAGCAGCCAAGTACTTAACCACTGTGCCACCAGGGTGCTTTTGAATCATATCAAGGCATATTATTCATATTAAGAAATATAATGCAGGGATCAAAAAGAAGGAGGTAGATCCATATATTCTGGTGATAGAAGGAACGTCTAGACAGATTATTCAATGAAAGAGCCAAGTCACATGAAATAACATAATATACTCCCATTTACATAAAATCCTAAAATAAAGGTAGATAGAGAGGCGCAGAGAAGAGACTAGGACATACACCTTAACAGTGGTCGAGTGGTTAACGGTGGGGAGGGGCGGGACTGGGTTTGCATGCGGCCTGCTTCTTTATGCATCCTGGGAATCTCATAGAGCAAGAATGTGTCAGTGTGTCCCTTGTGTAACAGATTCAGAACGACATTAGAGACCTTAATGAGAGCCATCTGAGGGAGTTGGTAGAGGGGAAACCAGATTGGAGGGTTGGAGAAAGGAATGGAAGTTGAAAGAAGAGACAACAGTTCAGAACTATTGGCTGTGCAGGGGAGAAGACCTGGAGAGCAGCTACAGAAACTGGGGGCAGGGCAGGTTTTCTTTCCCCAACATGATAGAAATGGGAGCTTGTGTAGAGCTCATGGGACGGGCCCAACAGCTGGAGATGAGAAAAGGGCTCCTGAGAAGGTGGGCAGGAAGAGTCCAGAACACAGAGAGCAAGAGGGACCAGCCGGTGGCACTGTAACGGGAGGAATCGTGCAGGGGACAGTCCAGTCACTGGCGGCGGTACCTGTTTAGTGGCCTCAGTGTGATGTGTGAAGGAGGAAGTGAGTGGAGAAGGTGCAGCTGGAAAGAAAGCCACGGAGCTACCCATGCAAGGCCGACCTCCAAACAATCCTGCAGGGGCCACCTCATGCCCAGCTTCCTGCCAGTGCTAACGTCACCCTTCTCTTCTCCGCCCCACTCCACCTTATTCCATATTTTACAATGGCTTCCAGACTTCATTTGGAGCTGTCTTTCCTCAGGTGGGCAGACAAGGACAGCTCAGGTGGGTCTGGGCTTTGGTGGGAAAGCATATGGAATACCAGACCCTTCCCTTCACCTTTTCTAAAAGACAAAGCCATCTAATTTGGCAAAGAAGAAGGGGGAGGAGCATTCCAGGCAGAGGGAATATGAAAAGCTCAGAAGCTTAAGGAAACATGGCAATTGGGGGAGAGGGGATGTTGAGATGTAAGACTGGGAGAAGGCAGGGGCCCTGTCTTGGAGGACCTTGAGAGCCATGTGGTGGTTAGGGGCTATCAAACAGATTCTGACTAATCACAACTTCATGGAAGAGTAGAACTGCCCTGTGGGGTTTATTTTATTTTATTTTGTTGTTGTCCCATTGGATTTTTGGGCTATAATCTTCATGGAAGCAAACCGCCAGGTCTTTCTTCTGTGGAAGGCTGGGTGGGTTCAAACCACCAACCTTTCAGTTAGCATCTGAGCACTTCAGTTTTGTGCTATGAAGGCTCCATAAGTCCATAAGCTTTGAGAACCCACAAGAAGTTTTTTTTTTTTTTTTTAATTAATTAAATTTAATTTAATTGTGATTTGGGTGAAAGTTTATAGAGCAAATTCACTTTCCATACAGCAGTTCGCATATACTTTGTCTCATGACATTAACTACAATTTCCCACAATGCAACAATTTCCCTCCCACTTCTTCCCCATAGTTACCTCTTCCCTGTGTCCTTCCCTTCATGCACTTCTGCCCCCTGAGCTATGTCTCTGTGCATACATAGCCCTTCTATTCTCCCATGATTGTTCTCTCCAAGGAGTGTCTCTAGAGAACCCACAAGAAGTTTTTTACAATGGGAGTGGCTTGATTTCACCTGTGCTTCCGAAAAGGCTGCTCTGGCTGCTGGGTGGAGGTTGGGTTCAAGAGGGGCTGGTCCGAGCTGCAGAGCCTGGAGAAGAGGCAGGTGAGGGATGGTGGTGCAGAGGCTAAATCGAGGCAGGGACGATGGGGCATGAGTGGATCCAGGAAATTTCGAGGAACTCGAAACTAAAGTTCTTGCCAGCTAACCTAACTGAATCTCATGCCCTCGTCTTTGCAGATATTTTTATCTTTATTTTCCATGGATGGAAACTAAGCTCTGGAGAAATTAAATAAATTGCACAGCATGAGAGCACAGGGCTGATTCCAAAGCCCATGACAACAGGGTGTCCATGCTGTGAGTCCCTCAGTTAACAGAGGCGTCCCAGGCTGTTGGGGCATCCAAGTGAGCAGGGCTCCACCCCACCAGAGAAGCTCTGCTTCTTTAAGTTTCACAAATGACAATCCTACGTAATATTTCAACAGAAAGGGAGGTTTTGCTGCTTAAAAAAACCCCATTGCAAAAGCTCGCAAGCGACCATCTTAGATGCAACAATTGGTCTCTCCTCATCTGGAGCAAAGAAGAGTGGAGAAAATCAAAGACACATGGAAACAATTAGTTCAAGGGACTAGTGGACCATGGGAACTTCGGCCTACATGACCCTAAGACCAGAACTAGATGGTGCCGGGATACCACTGTCAACCACTCAAAAAGGGTCAGTGCAGGAGATCCTGGACAGAGTGCAAGAACAGTGTGGAACAAAACTCAAAATCATAAAAAAAGACCAGACTTCCTGGTCTGATAGAGACTGGTGAAACCCCAGAGATTATGGTCCCTAGTCACCCAGTGGGCCTGGAA